GTAACTTTATTCTCATTTAGCCAAGTACTCTAATACATCTGCTTTCACTATTGCAGTTTGGATTGGCTGTGGAAATCAGTGCCAACAAATAAATGATAGGTTAAGTAGTGAAGTATAGCTGATTAAAAGTTGAAAAGTGGAGGTTTTGGCACATTAAAACATAAGGTCCTTACTAGGCAAGGGCTAAGGTTTAACACCACCTGACACCTCAATTCAAAAAAGTCTTCATCTGGCCGTCTTTGTCTTCTCAACAGTACAAATTGTATAGAACATTGTAATATTCCCTAAACACATTATGTTGTTGCCCTGGCCGGGTAGCTCAGTTGGTTAAAGTGTTGTCCTGATACACTAAGGTTCTGGGTTCAATCCCTGGTCAGGGCACATACAAGAAACCACCAATGAATGTATAAATAAGTGGAACAACAAATTGATGTTTCTCTCTCTCTCTCTCTCTCTCTCTCTCTCTCTCTCTCTCTCCTTGCTCTCTAAAATCAATTCAAATAATAAAAATAATATGTTGTATTTGAAAACATGTTTTACCTTTCACACTGGCTTCACAGACATTGTCTGTTTTAGTCCTGGACTTCCTGTCCTGTAGACAGGGCAGATATTAAGCTCCCAATTTAAGATGAGGAAATACAGACTCAGAGTCTTAGCATGAAGACAAGCACCCAGTATTTAAAACTGGTTCTCCTGAAATAAATCCACCCATAAGGCCCCCTGGGTATCCAGGTGACCACTTTCAATCTCAGGTTAAAAACCCAGACCTCCTTTGTGCAGTTCAGACATGAAGCACCAATGTAGTCTTGCTTCTTTCCTGGCGTATCTAATGGCCTTAAATGTTTAGAAAGGTTATAGTGCTTTAACTTGCTCAGTAAGTTCCTTACCACTTAGCTGCATTTAAAATCATATGGGTGGGGTTTTGTGTGTTATTTTTTAATGTTTTTATTGATTTCAGAGAGAGGGGGGAAGGGGAAGGGATAGAGACAGAAACATCCATGAGAGAGAACTCTCAGTTGGCTGCCTCCTACACGCCCCCCACTGGGAATCAAGCCTTGACCAGGAATCCAACTGGTGACCTCTAGATTCATGGGTTGATGCTCAACCACTGAGCCACACAGGCTGGGCTTTATGGTTTTGTGTGTTTTTTAACCAAGAAAGAAAGCAAAAGTGGCTCCATTTGTATGAACTCAGTGTCAGAGATGATTCGTCTGATAGAAAACGGTTTCTTTCCAGCCAGGGTTCGGAGATGGCTGCTCAGGGACGGGCCCTGGCCAATCACTTCCAGAGCGAAGGCACTCCGGTGATGATCGGTACGGGTTTGGGACATCCTGGGCTCTTAGGTGGCATGGAGAGAATGTAAAACTTGCCGTTAGTATAAGTATTTACAGTCACGTAAAATCAGTAATTTTAAACCACTTTAAAATGAGCTTTTACACCATACACACTGACCTCCAAATTCCTTTGGAGATTTTTAAATGCGCAAGGCATTTAAAGTTATAACCAGAAGAAAATGCTAAGGAGATAAATGATAAAGGTGTGCATATAGATAGAGGAGTTGAAAGCTTCATGAAAAAGAGGCCTGAGCATCGTAAGTCTCAGGTCTGTCACTAACTTGGCCCGCTACTGCAGATTCCATTGCTGCAGATTGCTTATCTGGGCTTTATGCATAAAATAAGAGGACTGATTTGTTCATCTAAAGATTCATATTCTGTGAGGGACAAGATGGATCCTGTGATGGCAGGGGAGAGCTCAAATGGGCGTGGAGGAAGGAGAGGAAGGCAGACTTCAGCAGAATAGCAGGAAGCACTGAATGAGTGGAGGCTGTCTCCTCGGAGACAGCACGCCCTCTGCTGAGTGGAACACAGCAGTGGCTGTTTCTCTGGTGGGAGGAGTTTTTTTGTGTGTTTTTTTTTTAATATATTTTTATTGATTTTTTTACAGAGGAAGAGAGAGGGATAGAGAGTCAGAAACATCGATGAGAGAGAATCATTGATCAGCTGCCTCTTGCACACCCCCTACTGGGGATGTGCCTGCAACCAAGGTACATACCCTTGACTGGAATCGAAACCAGGACCTTTCAGTCCCCATGCTGACGCTCTATCCATTGAGCAAAACCGGTTTCAGCCTGCTGGGAGTTGTTTACCAGTAGACCCTCTGTGGCCCTTTCTAAACCCAGTTTAGGTAATTCCATGGATATGGCAGTGGAACATAAGCCTTCTGATTATAGATATGATTGAATCTTTTCTGTCTTGAAGATGTAATTTTATCTTTCCAGAGTGTATTTGACATTGTGGCCTTTTACAATGTAGGCTAGAAAATTTTAATGCTGTTGAATAAATTAACAGGCAAAGCAATCTTTTAAAATTGAAAAGGAAGTTGAGATTAATGTATGCTTCTCATATTTCATATTTCCTCTTCTCCAGGGGGAGGAGTTTTGGCCCACACGATACTGGGAGTCGCGTGGAATGAGATTACAGGGCAGATAAAATTTCTGATTTTAGATCCACATTATACTGGCGCTGAAGATCTGCAGGTTATTTTGGAAAAGGTACGTATCTGTTTAACACAAATTTAGATGCAAAGACAAAGAAGCCAGAGCCAGAGGAGAGCGCAGTGGCTGTTAACAGGACGGATAATAACCGAGGGCAGTGACCCTCATTCTAAGGAGGCATCTGGGCTGTGGTGAATGACTGTCCCTCTGCTAGGACGATAAGAGGGAAATAAAGTAAATTGAAAAGAACCATTTGGGTTAGGTTTATAAAAATGTTCTCAGTTACTGAACTTAATAACGGAGCACAAAGCTCATATATGGATTCTTTGGGAGATTTTTCAGTTTTGCACAAACAAATGTACTGAGGTCTATCAGTGCCTTGAAGTAGGAGAGTATAAAACCTTTTATCATTTTAGAATTAACCAATAATAGCTAAGCAGGACGCTGGACCTTGTGGAGGCCTGACTACTTTTCAGCTGTTTACATATAACTTAATCTCATGCTGTGAAGGATTTGGACAGAATAATGGGTTTGCTATGTTAGTGCATATAAGAAACCATGAAGCCAAGGCCTGGCCATCAGTGCAGAAATATTGACTCTTATTTGATTCAAGAATCTAAGGCACTGAGTCCGCTTGGGCTGCTACACAGAATACCACAGACTGGGTAACTTATAAACATCTGACATTTATTTCTCCCGGTGCTGGGGGCTGGGGCATCCAAGATCAAGGCGCCAGCAGATAAGCTGTCCATTGAGGCCCACTTCCTAGTTCACAGGCAGCTGTCGTTTTCCCCGTGTTCACAGGTAGGAGAGATGAGGGACCTTTCTGGGGCCTCTTTAAAGAGGGCACTAACCCATTTGTGAGGGCTCCACCCTCCAGAGGCCTCACCTCCAACTATTGCATTGGGATTAGGTTTCAACCCATGAATTTTGAAGGGACACAATCAGTCTATAGCAGGGCCACGGGGAAGGTCTGCCTCTGCCGCTTTAACCTCTTGTGGAGCTTTCCTGCTTGACATTCCCGGCCAGTCCCCTCAAAGGAGAGCACGGCTCCCCCTCCACTCCCATCAGTCTCTGGTTTGGGCACCCTCTCTGCCCACGTCCCTTAAAAAAAACAGCCTGGTTACCTGGAGAAGACCTGCATGTGTGAAAGGAACACAGGAAGATTAAACGGAGATAGTATACGCTCTCCTTCCTATTTATCGTTAAGAACACAGGTGTTAGGACATTAAAATTATTAGAGGAAGTTTTGCTGAAAATAGTAGATAATAAAAAGAAGCTTATTGTGTATAGCAACATGTCTCAAACAAACCAAAGTTAAAAATATATATATTCTTACTGATTTCATAGAGGGAGGAGGGAAACATCAATGATGAGAGAATATTGATTCCTGCATGCCCCCTACTAGGGATCGAGCCTACAACCAAGAAATGTGCCCCGACCGGGAATCGAACCATAGCCTCCTGGTTCATAGGTTGATGTCAACCACTGAGCTACACCAGCCGAGCCACAAACCAAATTTAACAGCTGGGGGCAGGGGCAGTAGGACTGACTTGGGGGTGGGGGAGGGGGCATTTAATGTTTTACTTTCATGTGATTTGAACTTTTATAATGTTTATCTTATTTTTTGCAATCAAAAACAGAAAAACACTAAAGAGCATCTCTGGCCTCCACACTAAAGGGTCCGCTAACACACTCTTTTGGAGGAGGTCTGCTCTTTGACCTTAGGCCTGACAGCACCCTGCAGCCTCCGAGTCAGGCAGGGAGGGAGGGAGGGAGACCAGGCTTGTCCCACACTCGGTGGTACTTTAAGAGTCCTAGCTAGCCTCCTCACACGTATTTATCAAACAAAGCTTTTCATTTCATAGTCATAGAACACAGACAAGATGTTAGCTGGGTCTTTAAGAAAATAAATCAATGGCCCTAGAAGAAATTCGATAAATTTTTATATTCACAATGAGATTTTGTTTGAGAGTAATTTTCTCTGCTGGAGAAAAGGATGAATGCTGACATGAATAGAAAGTGGAAATGATTACAGCCTGAGGGAAATGAATGCCACTCAAAGGGCGAGCTCAGATTTCTCTCGACCATATTTCCTCAGCTATGATGCCTCTGCATGGTGCACAGCAGTCTTTTATGGACTGCTGAGGAAAACAGACTGCCACTTAGATTGTCCCAGGCCTCTGCCTGCCAGAATGGCAAAACTGTACATCTTAGCATCAATAAAATGTGGACTTTGAAGCCATAGTTACCATAGGAAGCTTCTCTTTATTTTACTGATTTATGATGAAACACAGTATAATTAATTTTTTTTTTATCTATCTGAAAGGGATCCAAATAAATTATTTTCTATGCTTTATACAAATTAGGATCCTTGAGTTAGATAGGTACTTAAGAGTCTTATTCCAAGATCCTATTGGAGCAGGATGGTAAAATTTTATAATTTTGGTCCTATAGTCTTGTACCTTTGTAAAATGTTTTCCTTTCCCTTTTCCCAATCTAGGGCTGGTGTGGATGGAAAGGTCCAGACTTTTGGAATAAGGATGCGTACTATAACTTATGTCTTCCTCAGCGACCAAGCATTATTTAAAACTAGAGGCCCAGTGCACGAAATGCGTGCTGACAGGGTGGAGCAGAGGAGTCCCTCAGCCCTCTCCCAGTCTGGGAACCTCATGATCAATCACCCCGAAGAGGTAGGCCCTGCACACCCGCTGCTGTCCACTGGTCCGTGGCCTGGGCCTCCCTCTGTGGGTGACCCATCACATCGCACCTGCCTTGGCTGGCCTGGTGCCAGTGGCTGTCATAGCGTGGTTGTCCAGACGATTCTGCTGCTCGGTCGATTTGCATATTACACTTTTATTATTATAGATATCTTGGACTCAAAGACTGTAAAGTTTATTATAAATTTATTAATAAAAAATAAGTTTAATTTTTCAAATGAATCCTGGTGTGTAGTTGGATGGTTTAACCTTGATTTTTCCCAAAGGTTATAAATTCCACACAAAAAAAGAATTTAGTCTTTAGACATTCCTTTCAGAACTCAATAGACAAAGCATGTGCAACCACAATAGTGTCGGCATGTAAATACATGTATTCATAAATGTTCTCTTCACTTAGAAGAAAGTTCTCCTCCTTCTCAGAAGGACTTTAGATGCCCGAGGAGCAAAAGCCATGGCTTGATGCTGAGCGGCAGATCTGCCTCGTCACACCTCCTCAGACCCAAGTCGTCTGTTAAAAACACGTTCACATTAAAGTCTCTCTTAACAGGTTATCTCCCCAACCTTCTCTGCAGACAATCTTTGTCTTTTCTAGAATCTACTAGTAGTTACTAGAACCGATCTTAAAACGTGTTAATGAGAATGAAAAAGACACACGAAATAAGACTGCCAATATTTAAATGAAATAATAATTTCTGTGCCAAATAAGAGACCCTTGAGGAAGGAAGAACAAAGAAGCTGAGTTACTTACGGACACTTCCTTTTCCCACTTGTATTTCCTGCACTCGCAGAACTTCGTTTCTGCCTGAGCACCGGCACACAGGGGTCTCTGTGGGACGGTTCTCCTGGGTGTTCTGTCTGCATACGTTTAATCGCTGTGAGGAACTTGGCACATTCAGGAAATCCACACAACCAAGCAAGATCTTCAGCTGTTTGCCCATTCTTATTACATAAGCTGAATTTAAAATAAAAACCGAGTTAAGTAAAGCTTGACAAGTGTTTAGCCTTTTTAAGAAAAATATATGTGTATATATATATATATCTTTCTAACAAAGGAGCTTTGGGTTCATACAAATGTTGGCTGCAGAATAGCAGAGGTGAAGGAAGCGCAGAGAAATTCCACTTTTGTTCGCTCTGGTGTTCTCAGGGGCTAGCACAGTCCAGCACAGAGTGGGCATTTCAGTTTTGAATGAATGAAAGAGCATCTTGTGTTCGAATAAGGGGTAAGTACCCAAGAAAATCCATGAGAACTTGGACAGAATGGATTTTCCTAAACCAATACTAAGGTGTACTTCTGCCACCTCTGATTGCTCAGGATCCACTTTTCACTTCTTCAAAGTGAGCAGTATCGGATATTAGCAGCCTGAGTTAACATTTAAATGATAACACCAAATTATCAATTAGACAAGCATCTTTTTCAAAATATATTTTTATTGATTTCAGAGAGGAAGGATAGGGGGAGAGAGAATCATCAATGATGAGAGAGAATCACTGATTGGTTGCCTCCTGTACACTTCCTTCCCCCACTGGAGATCAAGCCCATAACCCAGGCATGTGCCCTTGATCGGAATCGAACCTGGGACCTGTCAGTCGGCAGGCAGATGCTCTATCCACTGAGCCAAACCGGCTAAGGCAGTGGTTGGCAAACTCATTAGCCAAAATAGCCAAATATCAACAGTACGACTGAAATTTCTTTTGAGAGCCAAATTTTTTAAACTTAAGCTTCTTCTAACTCCACTTCAAAATAGACTCGCCCAGGCCGTGGTATTTTGTGGAGGAGTCTCAGTTTGCCGAGCACGGGGCTAGGGCAACAAGCATCTTTTTAAAAAGCACATGTAATGAAGCTTCAGAAGTCTGATTCACTTAATCCAACTTAAAGCCACCGAGTTTAACACTTACTCAATCTGGGCATCACTGGCTACAAGCAGGCTAAGGCATTCCAGGCTTCCCACTCTGGCTGCCTTGTGGAGTGGAGCTTCGCCAAAAACATCCTTAAACATAAGACAACACATGTCAGTCTCCCCATGATGAAGTCTAATTATCGTTTGAGGAACCGATGTGAGGAAGATAGCTGGACCTGACTGTACTGGGCTGAATTTTTTCAAGTTTTGTTTTTTAAATAAGGGCCTGCAGGAAGCAACCAATGGGTATGTTTCTCCCGGTCTCTCCCCCTCTCTTCCACTCTCTAAAACTCAAAGGAAAACATACCCCAGGTGAGGAATAACAAAAAGTTACCTAGAAAACTTAACAGTTGTGAGCATGCCTCACCAATATTTCAGTTGCTATACTGAGACTTCATTTGATAACACAGGAAGTGTTCCTTTTGAAATTGCAGACCTGTATGTGCCGTCCAATGTAGGAGCCAGTAGGCATATATGTGGCTCATGAGCACTTGAAATATGGTTTGCCTGAAATGAAATGTGCTGTAAATATAAAATACACATCGGATTGAAAAGACATACGAAAATGTAAATTATCTCAGTAATGTTTTATACTGAGATGTTAATGTGGATAAATTGGTTTAAATTATAAATTTCATGTTTCGTTTTTACTTCATTATTGTGGCTCTTACAAAAAAATTTAATCACATACGTGTCTCGTGTATTTCTCTATTGGACATCGCTACACAGACCTGTTTCTAACAACTGAACTGAAAGCCCCGGAGACTAAGAAACGTGTGTGTGTGTGGGTTTGGGGTGGGGCGGAGGGTTGCGCACAGTAACCGTTACCCGGTTACCTGCTGGTTGAGGTCCGCGCCGGTCTGCAGCTGCCAGAGAAGAAACCAGGCCCGGCCGCCGCCCGCGGCCAAGTGCACAGGCGACTGCTCGCAGGGGTCCGGGGGTGCGTTGACCGAGGCCCCGGCCGCCAGCAGAGGCGTCAGACTCCCCACCTGCAGGAGGAGAGCAGCTCCAGCACCCCTCTCGCCTGTCCAGCCCCAGCCCTCCGGGGGCTGAACACCCCCCAGCCCTGCAGAGGCGGCAGCGCCCGGCGCTCACTGCACAGTCACCCCCGCTAAGCGCGCCCCAGAAGACGGACACCTGGAAGCTTCCGCCTGCGGGACACAAAGGGTCTGCGTCTCACCTCTGAGTTGCAATCAAGCAGCAGCATCTTCCGCCTGAAGCCGAGCGCCGGAGTCGCCGGGCTTGCAGAGCAGCAGAGTGGCCGGTAAGTGTGCACCAGCCGCCCCAGCGCGGGGGAATTTAAAGTCGGCGGGATGGGGTGGGGAGCCGGCCCTCGCCGCCGCGCCCCAGCTCCCGCCGCGCCCCGGCAGCCTGACCCTTGGCTGCACCGCCCGGCCCGCCCCGCGGCCGCGGCACGTACGCAAACACACACACGTGCAACCCGGGCCCGGGAGGAGGGAGGAGGGGGAGGGACCGGCGCGGGCCCGCCAGCCGATTGGCCACGGGGAGGTGCCGGGCACGCCCACCTGGGGGCGGGGCCCTGGGCTGCCCCGCGGAGCGCCAGTGCGCGTGCGCCGTGGGGGGCGGTGTCGGAGCTGCGCGTGCGCGGCGTCCTTGCGGCGCCCGGGTGACGGCACGTCCCGCGCCGGCGCGGCCCGCCCTCGGTCCCGCAGGGGAAGCGGGAGGCGCGGGGAGCCCGCGGTGTCTGCCGGCGCGCACGTAGCCAGGAAGCGGGGAGCTATTAGCAGCCCCGCGGCCCCGCCCGTGCCAGCCAGGGCCCCGCGGGAGCTGGCGCCGCGCCGCCCGCGCCCCCAGCGCCGGGGGGGACTGAGGTCCCAATGCCTTCAGTTCAAAGTCGCCCCCTCCGTCCCCCTCCCCCAGGGCGGGAAGGATAAGCGGGTGGGGTGGGTGGGGTGAGATGTGTCCTGTGGCCTAAGGGGGTGGGTTTTCCCGCAGGACTGCCCTACCGGCCCTCCAAATTAAATGATTTTTCGAGCCCGGCCCGCTGGCCTCGTGGGGGTCTGTGCAAGCAGCTGCCATCGGGACGAGCGCCCTCCCGGCCGCCGGGCTGGGCCCCCGGGGAGGTGCGGGGTCCCAGCAGGCAGCCGGGCTGGTCCCCCGGGGGGGGGGTGCGGGGTCCCAGCAGGCAGGCGGGGCTGGTGGGGAGGGGGCCGGCCGGGGAGGGACGAGCCCGCCCTGACAGCGGGGACAGAGGGGATAGGTGAAGGGGCCGGGCCTGGAGGGCTATGCCCCACGGGCAGCGCCCGCACAGTCTCAGCTGGTCCCCGGGGAGAGGGGGCTGTGGACTCAGCTCTGCTGAAGCTCTTTACACTTAAGTTTATAAACAAACTGTTAGCTCAGGACTCATTCCTTTTTTAAAAAAAATTAATTTCTTTATTAAATTAAGGTATCACATATTTGTCCTCAACCCCCCCATTCCAATCCCGCACCCCCCTCTATTGTCCTTGACCACTGGTTAGGCTCATATGAGTGCACATAAGTCCTTTGGTTGATCTCTCCCTTTTATCCCCACCCTCCCTCTGAGGTCCAGCAGTCTGACCCATGGCGCCTTGTCTCCTCAATCCTTAAAAAAAAAAAAAAAAAATCGTCAGAAACAGACTTCCTGGCTTCAAACTAGCCGTTGAGCCCCTATACTGTATAACCTCTTATATATGCGCCCAGTGTGAAATGGATTGTTATCTTTTCCTAGGCACTTTTTGTTTTCAGGTTGATCTACAATAGCTAAAAGCTAAAGCTCCAGCCGTGTTTCCCTTCCCTAAAAAAGCCTTGAGTGAGTCCTTCCTCTGTACGGATCCCTCTGAAAGCAGGACTGAACAACAGGTAGGGTTGTTGTTATGCTTCCAAGGACCAGCTCATTGCCCTTGTGGTTACAACTTTGGTGGCGGCAGAGCGTTTATTTTGTAATAAGCCATAAAATGACTTTTGCAGTAATACATTTATATTACTATTCTGATAACATGAATAAACATGTTATAAACATACTATTCTGATAACATGAATAAACATGAATAAACATGTTTAAATCTACCAAGGGGTAGATTTAAACATGTTTATTCCTATGTGTACCGGGACATAAATGTGGGTATATATTTATGTTCAAACACCTACATAAGCCATGCTTTCGTTCTGTATGTTTTGTACTTAAGCAATTCACAGTACCTTTTGATGCTGTTTCAAGAATGTCACTGCAAAGATACTGCTGTTCAGTGAGAACAGGAGTCCCTATTGCCAATGGCAAATTGGCAATAGGGACAGGTGTTTGTCAATTAGGTAAGCACTTTTTTAAAGCGTATAATTGAGCTTCAGGGTTGCGCAGATACTCCCTTTCAGGAATTCCCTACTAATGCGAGGGATTAGCAGAGACGTACTTAGAATTCTGAACGTGTGCATGGTGAGGCTCAGGCAGGCCACATAGCCATCTCCGGCAGTGAATAAAGACAAACTGACTTTATTTAAGGAAAGGGGTCTGGGGATGGGGATAGCCAAAGGGAAGGGCGACACAGCACTGAGCCAAAGGCATTGGGTCCATGATGGCAGCAAAAAACGTGCTTAGGATAGTGCAACGTGGAAGGGCATGGGGGAAGCAACAGGAGAGCCTGGGCTGGGCTGCTCTGGCTCCCTGGGAAGTCAGAGAAAGGGGGGCCTCGGAGGCAGGTTCAGGGGGTGAGCCCAGGACGAGCTGCCAATGCCCATTGCTCCCCTGGTTGCAAGTCTCATGGGGGTGGGGAACACGGGCAAGGAGAAGTGGGGGGAGGGAATTGCACAGGCGTGTTCTGTGGAGGGAGAGCAAGAGCTGGGTCCTTTTCCTTGAACTGATTTCTCTCTCCCTTGCAGGTGGAAATCTTAGGAGAGGGTTCAGGGAGGGTCTTAAAGGAATATCAGCTTTCCAGGTGTGCTCTTTCAGGGTCCTGGTCTCCACTGTAGCTGGTCCTGAGGCAGCCAGGGTGTCACTTGGTGCCACTTACCTGGTTTTGCTGCTTTCCTGGGCCTGGAGCTGAAATACAGTGGAGCCCTAGATGTTATCTTCGGGGAGGCAAAGGTCAGGGGGTCTAAACCGCGTGACCAGTGACAGGCTAGGGAGCAGAGGTTACCCTGGAGACAAGGTTCTTGTTTTCCCAGGTTTGCCCCTTGCTAGGCACCCAGGGCTTTCTGCCCGGTGAGTTTCTCTTCCTGGCCCATCGTCCTTGCTCTGCTGGTGTCTGTCTAACAACATGGACTGCAGTTAACATAGGATAGGATGTTTGTGTGTTAAATGTGCCTCCTGTTACATCCTTTTCCTTTAAAACATGCATTAATTCTGGTAATTATATATTAACTTCCTGGTACATAGGGGAGCCTTACAAGGAAAGGGAATTTTGTGAGTAGTTTTTAAAGCTTTTCTCCCTTTACTCACTGTGTGTGTCTCTATTGCTCACATAGTTTCAGAAAAAAAATATTTGTCTGGATGGCTTACCCTTAGTAATGGAGCCAAAAGGTTTCCAAAAACTGAACAAAGCTGGTGGAGCAGAATCAGTTCGTGAGGACAGTGTCTTATTGGCAAGTAACTGGAGTTTTTAGTAAACGTGCAACCGATGGGATCAATTTTCTTAAAAGGAAATTGGTCTAAGATGCATATTCTCAACAGGCATTCTTCTTAGCAGTGATAGTTTCACTTAAGTTTGATTTGCGGGTAAATATGTTTCCAGAAGGAGGATGTCATTTAGAGTGAGAGTTCAAAAAAATAGATTAAATGCTGACTAAGTGACCACATGGACTGTCTTGAAGACTGAGGAAGCCTTTGAGAGGTTGTCCAGGAAGGTCAAAGGGACACAGAAGTCAACCTAAAAGAGCCCCCATTGGCCAAAGCAGTGGTCGGCAAACTGCAGCTCATGAGCCACATGCAGCTCTTTGGCCCCTTGAGTGTTTAGCAAAGGTCAGCTTAGGAGTGCCCTAATTAAGTTAATAACAATGTACCTACTTATACAGTTTAAGTTTAAAAAATTTGGCTCTCAAAAGAAATGTCAATCGTACTGTTGATATTTGGCTCTGTGGACTCATGAGTTTGCCGACCACTGGGCCAAAGCATCTTGGAAGACACGATAATGTACTGTTGGGTTATAAATCAATAAAATAAAATAGATATCCTTAAGTCCATACTGATATAAATGATTGAATCGATACAGAAATGAGAGCGAAAAGATCACCCTTCCTCACAAAAGAATTCCAAACTCTTCATGTGGACACTCCCGCTCCAGGAAGTGGGGAGACTCCTCTCCCACCCTGCCCTCTGGAGTGCGGTGACAATGACTTGCTCCTGAAGAGCCGAGTAGGGGGAGGGGAAAAATAGTTTTATGGTGGAGAAACCTAGGAAACACTGCCTCGGCCAGATCATTGTGAACATCATCGGTGATGAGTCATGTTAAGAGCATGCACCGCTGACATGAAGTGGTGAGAAGGTCACTTCCCCTCTTGCTCTTCTTTCCTACAGAATTTTACACATCTAGGAATAGACATTTTGAAACCCTCCACTTCCAACTCCTGATAATCCACACTACAGGTGAGGAAATTGCCTCCTAAAAATATTAAGTGACTATTCCAAAATCACAGATACTTAATTACTTCTCCCCCTAGTATACTGAATGGTCTCCCTTTCCTGCACGTCATTCTCATTAATGAAGCGATTTATCATCCAACACAGCGTCCTATCATCATGTAAATGGAGCTTTCCAAGCACACCCAAGGGTTGCTGAGTGTTCTTCACCACCAATCAGGGACCTCCCCTGGAAGCTTGTTCCTGATTGGTGAAGGCCCTGTGTAACCATAGAATGCAGAGGAATAAACAGAAAGCATAGCAACAACTGAGTTTGCTGTCTCACTATCCTCAGCCTAGGCCAACCTGGACTTCTTCATCCCAGATGAGGTGGCCCCTACATTTTATATGAAGGCTCTGATTTTCCGTTTAACCGTGACCCGTCTGAGAGCATGGCAATCCAATACAGGCAGGAAGATGAAACTGAGCAACACAGCTAAAATAAAGCGAATACCCAGGTAGAGCAGACGCATGCTTTGGTGTGAAAAGGATTACGGGCCTGGGGAGATTCAGATACAGGGCCACAGGAAGTGACTAGAGCACAGAACTGTATCTATGGGCAGTGTCACCAAATTCTACAATACTAGTGGCAGCAGCTGTGGCGGGTGAGGTGGCCCACGGCAGCATGTAAATTCATAGAGAGGATGTGCAGAGAGCTCTCCTCATTAACCCCACGCTGTGGAGTTGGGCATGGAGGATGGTTGGGCTGCTTCCCCTAGCTCCGAGGGGCCCTGGTTCCCTCAGAAGGAATGTGCACCACCAGGGCTGGTAGTTTGGTGCCCTATCCCTAGACAACATGGGGAGGTTGCTTTTCATGAGTGCCACGTGGGGATGGAGTGTCTTCTCAAATTTCTCTGGAGGAAGATACTTCTATCTTATTTTTTATGTTCCTTTACAGAATACACGTGGAAACAGGATGCAGTTGACCTATGAAAAATTGCCCAAGGACCCCATTTATGCCTCTATATCCCATTTGACCGTCAAGAACTCCAAATTCTCCCAGTGGCAAAAGGACAAAACTGGTACAAATTCTGATAGTACTTTCACTAAAAGTTAATCCGTACACCCGAGGGAAAAAAAAAAAAAAGAGAGACAAGAAATATGAATCTTATTGCTGTCGAGTAGGTGGTTAACTTGAGCCTTTTCTAGCTTTCCTATAGGAATCCGTGAAATTGCGATTTCACGCATCTGGCAGCAAATCACCAGTGGGGAAGTTTCAAAGAGCCCGATCCTGAGTTTACATCCGGGGTGTAGGACCCTCTTCTGGAAAAGGGAAGCCTGGTGGCTTGTCTGTTAAAGAGGACAATGTCATACTTTACTGTAAACTGGCCTTTAAAGCTACCTTTTTTTTTTCCTGTAGTCTTTTAAAAAATTAAATTGGGGATGGCTAGTGTTATGTCCAGATTTCAAGATCCCCAAGGACCACCAGGGAGCCGAGTACGATGCAAAAGCAAAAGAGCTTTTATTCAAACTCGAGTCTGGTCTCCCTGCCTCTACCGACGCAGCGGCAGGATGCAGAGAGCCCCGAGCTCTGGAAGTGTGGTCTTTTTATAGGGCTTAGGGTTGGGTGGTGGGGTGATGCTCGGACCACTGAGTTGGCTGGTTCTGATTAGTGGGGTGAGGCCAGGGTCCGGTTACACTGGGTTACTTCCCTCTGTATTTCTCTTGGCTGATTTAAGGGTGGGTTGGGTAATTGACACATTTTGTGGTCTTTCTCAGAAAGGGGTTATGTCGGAGACATAGTTATACAAGACATAGTTACACAGTACAAAACGGAGTCAGTCCTGCTCTGCCCTTGAAAGAAGGCCTACGTGCTGGGAAGGGGCCATGAGGCTGTATCTCAAGGCCTGGCCTGGTAACTCTATAGTCCACGGCCTCTCCGGAAGCATGCTCCAACCTTCTCACTCTCTTACAGCTAGCTCCTTTGGTTAGAGTAGCTCTAATTAAGCCTCACATGAAGAATTTCACTCGCCCGTGGATGGCTTTGCCTAAAGAATGGCACGTAGACTGCTTGCTCCTCCTCGTAGTGAACTGGGTTACTTTGAAAACCAAACCACGAATATTTCTCGTGACAATACCTTCTCCATTAGCCAAAGTGGAATGAGAACTAGGAAGGAAACCGGTGTAAAATGTCAGATGAATTCTGTATAATTGGTGGCTTGAAGAGAGAAGATTCATGTTGTGTTTAAAGTTGCAATTCCTTACCTTTCTTAAAATAGACTATTACAGCCATGCTAATCTGGTGGATAAGGCATTGAAGCTCTTGAAGGAAAGAATAATAAGAGGGGATGCCACGGCATATTTCCTGCGAGGTCAACTCTATTTTGAAGAGGTATCAGTCTTTGTTTATTTATTTATTTTTAATATATTTTATTGATTTTTTTTTACAGAGAGGAAGGGAGAGGAATAGAAAGCCAGAAACATCGATGAGAGAGTAACATCGATCAGCTGCCTCTTGCACACCCTCTATTGGGGACGTGCCCGCAACCCAGGTACATGCCCTTGACCAGAATCGAACCTGGGACCCTTGTGTCCACGGGCTAACGCTCTGTCCGGTTTCAGCCAGTCTTTATTTGTTTTCATTTCATTGAATACTGCTGTTAGATCCTCATAGCAAAATGTCTCCTTAAGTGATATTTAATATCAGGGAAATTCTGTCAAACTCCACAGATTATGGTTGTGGCTTCAAGTGTGATACAGGTATCAGCTTAAGGAGCTACCTGGCCTTTCTCCATTACAGTTATTCTAATGAAAGTCATTTATAGGAGACATCCTGATTTTGGCCCCTTCTCTGATTGAGTTCGACACCCCTATCCTATATAATAAAAGGGTAATATGCAAATCGACCAAACAGCCGAACGATTGGTTGCTATGACACGCACTGACCACAAGGGGGCAGACGCTCAGCACAGGAGCTGCCCCCAGCCCACAGGATTGGGGCCTGCTAGCCAACCTCTTGGTCCCTTCCCAGGGCGAGCAGACTCCAATCGCCCAATGGTGAACAGCAATCCAGGGCCCGCTGCCAGCAGCTGGGAAAGATGGCCCCGATCACAGGCCAGGCCTAGGGGTCGTACCTGTGCACAAATTTCGTGTGCCAGGCATCTAGTTTTGGTATAAAATTAAAAATCTAATGTTTATATTTTTGCCCAAAATATTTATCATCTAAAGTATTTTCACTCCAATGTCAGTAATACAGCTTCAGTTCTTCACTGAACCCGAGGGAAGACGTGAAAAGGACCAGCTGTCCCTACTGTGTTTCCCCGAAAATAAGACATCCTCCAAAAATAAGACCTACTTATAGGTTTCCTTCTGAGTGAAATATAAGGCATCCCCCTGAAAATAAGGCCCCCCTAGGCTAAACATGAGAGATTTGGTCCACTGATTCTAAAAGAAATGGAGTCACAAGAAATTCACCAGGAAATTCAGGAATTGGATTGTTATGATGATGTTCCAGATGATGATGACATGATTGTCATTGAATAAATGAGTAAATTCTTGATAATGTAAGATTCACAGTTTGTCTGGTTTGTGTTGACAACTACCGTACTACCGTACCGTATACAGGTAATAAATTTCCTTTATTTTCATTTAACAATAAATGTGTATCATATTCTTCTTCATGGAAAAATAAGACATCCCCTGAAAATAAGACCTAGCGCATCTTTGGGAGCAAAAATTAATATAAGACACTGTCTTATTTTTGGGGAAACAGGGTAATCCCTCACCATCCATTGAATATTTGGGCAGCTGCTCACCTATACCCCACTTACTCTCTAATCTTTTGATGGCTCCTTCATTCATTCTGGCAACAAAAGTATTTGTTGAGGACCAGTCATGCCCCTGTCACTGTGAGGATAGCACAACATAACGCTTAATTAAAGAATCTCTTAGCTTTGCACATGGGTTTGAACATGGCCCTATTGCTTTTAAATGCTTATCTGTGGGCACAAATACTTAACCTCTTGGTGCCTCAATTTTCTCACCTATAAAAGGGGGGCAATAATGCTGTTTCATTGAGCTATGGTGAGGGTGTATTAATTATAAAACAGGGCCTGGCACCTAATACGTGCTTTATAAGGCTTCACTATTATGTGCTATAAAATGAAGAGGGACTCAGAATGGTCCCCATTTCACAAAGGTTACAGTCCAGTCGGGGAAGACAATAAACATGTATAATTAACAATAAGGAAAAGTACTAGGAAAGGAATTAACTGCACACGACGATAGAGAATAACATAGGGATAGGGTGGAAAGACCTGTTGTGGAAACTAACATTTGCAGAAAAGGAAACACAACGCAGACAGCCAGCGAAGTGCGTTCCAGAGGGAGAACAAAGAAAACGTTTCGTCGATGACAGAGTTCTGAGACCTCAAAGAGACCAATGTGGAATAAGGCAGAGGTGGCTCTAGGTGAGCTTTGCTTAACATGTAGTAAGAAGCCATCGAAGGGTATTGAGTCTGTGATGAAGGCAAGCATAGAACCAATACCAGTTCGGGGGGAAATTTCACTAGTTCAAGCAAGAGAGGTTAGTAATCTTGACCAAAGTTGTAGCAGTGGAGCTGGGTCCTAGATTTATTCTGGAGACACAGACAGTGGTATAATGGACTGAAAAATAGAGGCTGGCCAGAAAGGAAAATTAATGTTAACTACTTAGTCATTTACTCATTGATATGTGGTCTTTAAAATAAGTAAATATTTGTTAGGATTTTGATGTAGTTTTTGTTAATTTTTATCAATTTGTTGATTAGTTATAGTTTATGAAAAGAGAAATTTAATTATTTTTCTGTTTTCCAAAAGTTGTTTTTCTCTAGCCTGCTCTTCCTAACAATGACCTTCCAAGTCAGTAAAAGACCCTTTCTACCACTACCAACGATTCATTCTTTAGTGTGAGGCATTTTCATGGCCGATTGAAATATAAAGTCCCTATTAGTCCTTTACACCATAGCATGTTTGTTACCAGACTGTCTAACTGCTGAGGAGCCTTTAACGTGATAACACATAACATGTAGGTTTTTATAGGAAGTTGGGAGAAAATTAATTTTAGAGAAACACACACTTGCTTTTCCATGTCTTCTCAGCTGGAAAACTGCAAAAACTGAAGGACACAAGCCATAATAGTAGTGGATGCTTAATAATAGTGAGTGTCCTTCATAAGGATATTCACTACTATTAAGAAAATAGATGAAGCCAAAACCGGTTTGGCTCAGTGGAGAGCGTTGGCCTGCGAACTACAATAGAAGGTCCCAGGTTTGATTCCGGTCAAGGGCATGTACATTGGTTGCAGGCGCATCTCCAGTAGGGGGCATGCAGGAGGCAGCTGGTCGATGTTTCTCATCGATGTTTCTAGCTCTCTATCCCTCTCCCTTCCTCTCTGTTAAAAAATCAATAAAATATATATATTTTTAAATAGATGAAGCCAATGTAGCAAAATGGGATTACTAAGAATTTATATGGTAGTTATGCAGGTAGTTATTTTTATTGTCTAGTCTACAGGTGATAGATAGCTTGTACAGTACCTTCTTGACCTGCCCGCAGGGTATGTCAGCAAAATGTGGGCAGAGGGCAGTTCCCTCCTTACTCTGTGTAGAGCAGCGGTCGCCAACATTTCGGACTTCATGAACCACTGGTTGGCGACCTCTGGTGTAGAGGAACATATAAGCTACCCTTTAAGTACAAGGTAGGAATCAAGGCCTTCACCAAAACCGGTTTGGCTCAGTGGATAGAGTGTCGGACTGTGGCCTGAAGTGTCCCAGGTTTGATTCTGGTACATTGGCTGATACATCTCTCTCATTGATGTTTCTATTAATAGCTCTCTATCCCTCTCCCTTCCTCTCTGTAAAAAATCAATAAAATATATATTTTTTAAAAATCAGGGTCTTTAATTACTATGAACATGAAAATATTTTATAGATGACATTAAATATTTTGGGCAAAAATATAAACAGATTTTTAATTTATTGTGCAAGAATGGATTTTATACTGCAGTATCTCACATCTTTTCTGAGGCGTTGGTCCCAGCTCTGAAATTTCTCAGACTTCAGGAGTGGCAGGGAGGTGGCAGGCTAGATTGAGCAGCCAGCTAAGCCGTCATTTCAAGAGAGGATTGGCAAGAGAGGATTTCAGGAGAGTAAGAGTGAAAGCCAAAGAGAATCTCACCTAAATTCCTGCAGTCCCTTCCCTCAGTGGCCACGTTTAGGTCTATTTAATTCACTTTATAGTGTGTTGACTGTTGTCAGTGACTTAACTTGCAAATTCCATAAATCTGTGGCTGTCTTTTCTAGGTTTATTTGGTGCTACTGGTGAGATTTGGGTGGGAATTAAATAACTGGGATTACTTTAAGATAATAATAATTCAGTATTTCCTGTGAGCTGGCAGGGATGGTATGAAGAAGCATTGGAACAGTTTGAAGAAATCAAGGAACAAGATCATCAAGCAACTTACCAGCTGGGCGTAATGTATTATGATGGGCTGGGGACCGCTGAAAACGCTGTAAGCTATTGATTTGTTCACAGTGTTTAAGATCTCATTTTCAATGGATTATCTGATACAATTGAAATTATTCACATTTTAATTTTACATTTCTATCCTTATAGTTCAGTAATCTCTAACTTTTTGCATTCAAAGGATATAGCATTAGTCATTTTTCGTTTGTGTGAAAAACAAATTTTCTTTTTTGCTCTTTCTCCTTGCTACCATTAGATGCCAATAATTTTCCCTTTTAATATGCTTTCCTGTGTTTTTTAAAGTTATTTCAAAGCTATATAAAGATGGAGGGGAAAAAACTAGAAAATAAGCAAAAATTAGGATCATTCCAAATTCTGCCATTAAATATAAACATTGTTATTATTTTAAAGTATGTGCTTTCATGAATTTATATATATATATTTATATATATATAAATTTTGTATAACATTTAGAAGTGACAAATCTGGTATTTGTGCAGAAGAACTTCTCTTGTAAAGCATAATGAAATATTTAGGTGTGAACTGTACTAATATTTACATCTGCAAATGACTTGAAACAAAGCAAAAAAAAATAGAGGAAGCAAATATAGCAAAATATTACTGAGAATTTATATGGTACTTATACTAGATATTTTATTGTATATTTTTTCTACTTTTCTGCATGATTAAAATTTTATATAAAAAGAAAAAACTCAAAGAAACTCATAATTATTGCAGCAATCAGACAAATGTAATTAATCTAAATTTCCTTGTTAAAAGAGAGTAAATATGTACTTAAGAAAATGACATGTATTTTTTAGTGCATCAACAAAGCTGTTCAAAGAAGCATAGAAACAATTTAAAACTTGATGTAGAAATTATAGTCCAATAGCAATAAAGCTCTGTTTAATATGAAAATCATAATACAGAGCCTATATGTGCCAAACATGATAGCATCAGACTACATAAAGAAAATGGGCTAAAAAATAAGTTTACAAAATATTAAATTTAATTTCTAGACATGATAGATAATATTCAGTATATAACAGGTAAGTTTTGTAAACTAAGCAACATCCACACCATAAAATTCCCAACATGAAATTTTAAGACTCCTTGTTTAAGATACCAAAATTGAAAATATACTAGGCATATATGTTTGAGGACAAAGAAAATCATAATGAACAATGCCCCCCCCCAAAAAAAAAAAATAAGTTGTGTGATGACAGTTTCACTCATTCCTTAAAATTTAAATAATCAGAGCTTCAAAATTTATCTAAAATGTTCAGGTTTATGTTCTCACAGTCACTTCTGCTTTTCTTCTTCCCCAATTTTTTCTCTATACTCTTCATCTTTGCAGCTGTACCATTATCTCTGCCCCGGCATAGGTCACTGCCTGTTATCTTTGCTGGTCTCATAAAACAGGATTGTGCTTGCAGCATTGCTTCTAACATGGAGGACCACACCAGGTCCCACCTAGTGAACAACTTGAACTTGTTCATCAGTCATTTCAGTTGCCCCACCTCACAGGATTCTTCAACTTGCTGAGGACTCTTCCTATCCTACCCTTTCCCCTTTCTGTGTCTTCTCCCTTAACCCTCTCCTTTGCTGATCCCAAATGAATTTATCCCGTTTTCTCACACAACGTAGTTCAGTCACCTCTTCGTCTGCCTTCCTTTCATTCAGGTCACTTCCTCCGAAAGGTTTTCTGTGGCCATGTGACCAAAACAGCCCCCTTCATTTTCTCCACAGGCTTGATGATGGTCTCCAGGGTTACTGCTTAACTTCTTTCTCCCTGTTGGAATGTAAGCTCCTTATAATTAGGCAGTTTTGTCTGTCTTCCTCCCTGCGGAATCCCCCGGGATTCAGACCAGTGTCAGACCCACAGCAGAGCCTACAGTGTTGGCTGATTAACTTGTGGCCCTGTGTTGACAATGCTGCTATCAGGTATCACCTCAGGAGATTTTCAAAGAACTTACCTTTGGGTTAGTTTCTCCAAGAAAAATTATGGTGGCAGCTGTTAGGATAAGAAAATGTTTGCCTTTGTTACAAACAAAATCAATATCCATTAAAATAATATAATAACCAAGTAAGATTTAGCCCAGAAATTTAATAATTTGTTAATAAGGAAATCTATGAATGTAATATACCACTTGAATAGCCTGAATAAAAGAAACCATATGATGGTTTTAGTATATTGAAAGTTTCATAAAACTCAATATTTATTCATAATAAAAAACATTAAAAAATTTTTTTAAACAGTACTAGGAAGTACTTCCTTAAAACTTCTGCTCTTGTCCCAAATTCATTCATACAGCCACCAAAGCCATATTTTCAAAATTCAAATCTGATCATGTCCTGTCCATCTTTATAAACTTTTACAGACTTCCATGTTGAAGATGAAAGAAAGGGACGTAACTTGGTCTGTTCCCATGGTCAGCCAGCTAGCTAGTCTTTAGTTTCCAAACCAGTAACTGCCATTCCAAACTCTCCCCAGGGATCCTGTCTGCCTGACCATCGCCATCAGTGGGCTTCACTAGGCATCGCGAGGCCAGAGCACTGTGACTCCATCTGAACTTGGTACTGGAATGCCATGTGGAACCTTGACTTCACTCGGTCCACCAGGCTTCCCAGCTTTATTATATTGGCCACCACACAGAATGTATGCCTCTCTTGTCATCTGTCTTCTTACATACTCCTGACTCCACATTGCTTGTCCTCTCCCCTTCCCAGCTGCCTGGCAAATAGAGGCCCCCAGGACCTCAGCCTTTTCCTAGACCTCTTCCTTCATTTCCTTGCTCTGTCAGAAACGTGGCTGTCCCTCAGGCAGCCCTCTGGTCGAGAACCCTCCTTCCAATATCACAGAGTACCACAGTGCTCAAAGGTGTAGCTGGCGTGATTTCCACTCCCCAATTCACTTTCCACCCAAGCACAAAGTACCTACCTTTACGTTCAGACCAACTCATTGCCTTTCTAGTTCTATCAATTTCTTGGCCATTAGCCATTCCCTAACATTAACTTGAAGACTGGCTCTGGGATTAGTTTTCCTCCCTGTATGATCCCATCACTTTATCTGACACCTAAACTAAGAACCGAGCAGCAAGAAGGAGCAACCATGTAGGACTACCAATGGGAGGGTTTACCGCCACTTCACTGGCTACCATTAAGTCCTTACTATCCAGGTGGAGGGAAAATGGTAGATACCTCATACACTCACAAAAATAAATCCACATAACCTGGGGCTCACAAAAAGTAAAACACCTTTATTTCCTCATCTACTGTGCTATGTAGCCAGCAACAGCACTTTGAGAAAGCAGCGAGGGATATTGCAATATATAAACACATGTTGATCATCAAGAATTATTTTCTTTGGAGTGTTTCAAGGCTTGGGTCGGATGGATTTCTGGAGGGTGAAAGCTGTGTTGTCAGTGGGTAGACTGTCTCCTGCACACTCTCTGTGGATATCTTATGAACATTAGTATAGACCGGAACTGAACCCGGGACCCTTGAGTCCGCAGGCTGACGCTCTATCCACTGAGCCAAACCAGTTAGGGCCAGACGATGACCTTTTACTTCCTTATTTCCAGCCTTGCACACCCAGGACAACACACCACTTGGGCACAGAGTCAGGAATTATATCACGTCAGGGGTGAAAGCTTCACAACATTACTGGGAGAAAGAATTTAGTTTGGGTAAAACTAAAAACTGGGGTTGTTTCTCTTTTCTTTTGTGGAAGGGAAAAGGAGTGAACTATATGAAGCAAATAATTGATTCTCCATGTCCCAAAGCAAGACACTTGCAATTTGCAGCTGCTTACAACCTTGGAAGAGCTTATTACGAAGGAAAAGGCGTTAGCCGATCGATGGAGGAAGCTGAGAGGTACTTACCTGAGAATGAGTTTTCGTCTTAACCATACACTGACACAAACAACCACTTGCCTTGCCTTTCTCTTCCAGACTTTGGCTTATTGCTGCGGACAATGGAAACCCTAAGGCCAGTGTGAAGGCTCAAAGCATCCTAGGGTTGTATTATTCAACGAAAGAACCCAAGGAGCTAGAAAAGGTAACGTTGATCTGTTTCAATGTTAGTTAGAATTCTATTTAGATTGTCTCGCTATTTCTTTTTTAAGAGAAGGGTGATAAGGAATACGGCTTTGAATCTCTGACACTTCTTTAAAACGTAAAGAATGTCAGTGTTAAGATCTCAAAGCTCATGCTATCCTTTACTCACCTACGAATGCTACCTTCCCCGCCTCTACCCAAAGGGACCCCGATGTGAGAGAATTGGTATGCTCTAAAGAGCTACCCATGCAAACTGTTATTCCATGCGAGCTTCCAGGGAGAGTCCTGAAATAAAGCCCAAATCCTGTTAAGTGTGAATTAATGATGACATTTGATTTGAGGAAGGAGCAATGATAATAGTAAGTAAAATATACTAGATGAAGATTAGACCCATTTAAGATTTTTATGGAACTATAGTTTCTCTCTTCACCATGACTGAAATAGTTTCCAAGAAACCTTACAGGGAAAGGAAATGTAGGGATAAGTCCTGCTTGTAAGGGGCACCAAACAGTCTAAAACCCTCCTTGGACAACTGAGCAGCCAACCCGTTTTTGGACAAATTCACAGTCTCGTAGCTGAGTATTGATCAGGTGTTTCTGGCCCCCATGTAGCCCTTACCCTTGGTTGCCTTTGATCTGGAAAGCCCCATCTCTGACTTCCTGAGCGGCCACAGCTGCCCCTCCCCACTGGGCCTCGTAGCAGGTCTGTCTCAAAGCCCTGCAGACACCGTTCCAGATCCCCACCCTCTCGATCCTTCCGGTGGAAAATCTGAAAATCCTGAAACCCGAGACAGCCGAACTCACCTGCTCTGTGGTCAGGCGGGCTCACCGTCTCTAAGGCCCGAGGAGTTGATGCCAGCCTGAAGGTACCTCCCAGGGGCTAGAACAACTTCCTAGAGATGAACGGACAGCGCTCTCTTCTCATTGGAGACTTCGTTCTTTCCGGTATCCCCTTGTAATGTCACCCTGTGAGTAACAAGCCCACACTGCTTCCGTGAAGGCATTCTTCTGGCACTCGGAAGCCTGCGGCAACGGGAGCCTGGAGTCCCAGGGCGCGCTGGGGCTCATGTACTTGTACGGCCACGGCATCCCCCAGGACACGGAGGCCGCGCTGCACTGCCTGCGGGAAGCCTCGGAGCGCGGGAACGTCTACGCCCAGGGCAACCTGGTGGAGTACTACTACAACATGAAGTTCTTCACCAAGTGCGTGGCCTTTTCCAAAAGGTAAACGGCTGGGGACGGTGCGTGCAGCCACGCTGAGTGCGCGCTCTGGGCCGGGTGTGTTCGTAGACTTGCTACAGTATTGTGAACGGTGGCTGTGGAGGGCTGGAAATGTGGCTAGTGCCCTAGTCGGCAAACTGGGGGGGTCTTTGCCCCCTTGAGTTTTTAGCAAAGGCCAGCTTAAGAGTACCCTAATTAAGTTAATAACAATGCACCTACCTATAGAGTCTCAGTTTCAAAAATTTGGCTCTCAAAAGAAATTTCAGCTGAAACCGGTTTGGCTCAGTAGATAGAGCGTCAGCCTGTGGACTGGAAGGTCCCAGGTTCGATTCCGATCAAGGGCATGTACCTTGGTTGCGGGCACCTCCCCATTGCGGGTGTGCAAGAGGCAGCTGATCAATGTTTCTCTCTCATTGATGTTTCTAACTCTCTATCCCTCACTCTTCCTCTCTGTAAAAAATCAATAAGATATAAAAGAAAAATAAATAAATTTCAATCGTTGCACTGTTGATATTTACTGTTGCTCTGCTGACTAATGAGTTTGCTGACCACTGGGCTAGTGCAACTGAGGATTAAACTTGTAAGTTTCATTGGATTTGAATGAAGCAGCCACATGTGGCTAATAGCTACCATATCAGGTAGTACAGTTCTGTGCCATTGGTCTTCAGGATTTCTGTGGCATTCGCTCCGCTCAGTGCACCAGCTGAGTGAGCTTCAGCAAGTTTCTTAACTTTTAGGGGACACCAATTGCTTTATTTATTAAAAAATAAATAAAATACTTCTTCAGGATTGTAAAAATATTGCGTATAAAGTACTGAACATGGCTTGGCAAGTAAAATGTATATTAACTATTAAATTCATTTCTTCCTACATCCTTAGCAATACATAACTGCAATATGGCTTGATCAGGGCTGTAAAATAAGAAGAATGGTTAAAAGACTCCAACACTAACATCTGATAAAATATTTGGAAGTTTCCATAAAACATGGAGCTTTTCTGTGAGCCCTGTATCTTCCTCCTTTTACTTTCCCACCACAGACAAAAGCACCGCACCGGGAAGAACAGCTGTGGCTGCCCTTCCCTCCAGGAATGCCGCCTACGCAGCCCACGGCTCCTTCCCGCCAGCCCCCGGGAGGCAGCCACGCCAACGGGGGATGAATTGCTGCCTCTCCCCTCTCCTCCCAACAGCTTGGCTCCCAGACAGCGGGTCACATAAAGGTGTGCTCACCAACATCCCAAATCCCCGGTGCCCTCTGATTAAAACGAAGATTTTACAAAGTTCTTAAAGTCTTTGAAACTTCACATTATTGTCCACATTCTTATTCTCCATACCATTAGGGTTAACATGATTAGATCTCATTCTCACACAATTCTCCATATCTGTGTCTGGGTTACACAGAATGAATTCTCTCTCTCTCTCTCTCTCTCTCTCTCTCTCTCTCTCTCTCTCTCTCTCTCTCTCTCTCTTTATAGCAGCACAAGTCCCCTTGCTTATATTTTTAAAATATATTTTTATTGATTTTGGAGAGGGAGAGATAGAAACATCAATGATCAGTATCATTGCTCTACTGCCTCCTGCACCCCTACTGGGGATTGAACCTGCAACTTGGGCATGTGTCCTTGACCAAAATCGAACCCAGAACCCTTCAGTCCACAAGTAGGTGCTTTATCCACTGAGCCAAACTGGCTAGGGCTATTTGTTTGTTGTTAATCCTCACCCAGGGATATTTTTCCGTTGATTTTTAGGGAGAGTGGAAGGGCGGCAGAAACAGCCACGTGAGAGACACATGGATTGGTTGCCTTCTGCACACCCTCCCCACCACCACCACCACCACCAGGCCGATGATCGAGCCTGCAACCAATGTATGCACTCTTCACCGGAATCAAACCTGGGACCCGTTAGTCCGCAGGCCAACGCTCTATCCACGAAGCCAAACCAACTAGGGCCAGAATGAATTCTTTTTATTGCCCTTTTTAACCAAAGATGGATGTGCAAGTTTTTTTTTTTTAATGTGTTTTCTGGTCTTATGTGAGTAAAGTCCAAATTTAAGATCCATGTTTAAACACATAATCCAAAGAAATAGAAAATACTTTTTCCCCATTGTTGAAATCTACAGTGATGTTAAGTTTAAAATACTAATATTATAAGGAAACAACCTTTCTTTTCTGTTCTAGTCATTTTCTAGGTTACTAAGCCTGATTAGAATAATCACAGGGAATTACTCTTTCCGGTGTTAACTATGCTATGCTTCCCTTTCACTGCACAACTTTGTCAAACAGGTAGAATGGGGAAATCATTTAAGACACAAGGACCATTTGTGGATAGGCTGTTTGTGAAAACGTAACCCATACCTGACGTCCTTTCATTTCACAATCTCCGTCCTAACAGGATTGCTGACTACGATGAGGTGCACGACATCTCGACGATAGCCCAGGTCACGGACTGTCTCCCCGAATTCATCAGCAGAGGCATGGCCATGGCCGCCTTCTACCACGCCCGGTGCCTGCAGCTTGGCTTGGGGACCATAAAGGATGAAGCAACTGCTAACCAATATTACTCTAAAGTAAGTGAGCCCGAGGGATAAGCATCAATGACTCCGAGACCACTTCTGTGGACGAGTGTTCTTTCCTCCTTAGTTACTGTATAGATAATCTCTGTTTATAGAGAGGCTGTCAGACATGCAGCCAAGCATGTCAAACTCACGGCTGGTGGGCCGCATGCCTAATTTAAGTAAATGAGGTATGTGGCCCGCCTGACATGCTTGTTAGATGATCCTGTCAGATTCTTGTTAGCATGATTAGAAGTCCTGTATTATTCTCTCTTACTCTGATGCTATCTTCAGGCCAGCACTAAGAGCTTAAAGCCAGAATATCCATGCCTTCTTTCACCCAGAAAAAAAGTGTGAGCTTGATCCTCGTTCTAGTACCTTAATGAAATGTAGTTTTGTAAAAAGTTTCCATGCTGAAGTGAGGAGGAATATTCATGAGTTTGCGGTAACCAGTTAAAATAAGCCTTTTCATGTTTTAATTCATGTGATTTAGTCAAATTCCAACGTATTTCATGTCTAAAATTCCAACAACTGTTAAAAGAGGGGAGGGGTGGGTGAGGGGGATGGTAATAAAGAGTAACTATATATATATATTTAAATATATTTTATTGATTTTTTACAGAGAGAAAGAGAGAGGGATAGAGAGCTAGAAACATCGATGAGAGAGAAACATCGATCAACTGCCTCCTGCATACCCCCCACTGGGGATGTGCCCACAACCAAGGTACATGCCCTTGACCGGAATCAATCCTGGGACCCTTCAGTCCGCAGGCAGATGCTCTATCCACTGAACCAAGGTTTCGGCTATATATATATTTTTAATAAAGAAAAGACAGCCTGGCTGGCGAGGCTCATTTGGTTTGAGCACCATCCTGTACACCAAAAGGTTTTGCATTTGATTCCCGGTCAAAACACATAACTAGGTTGTGGGTTCAAGCCCCAATTGGGGTGCATACAGGAGGCAACTGATGGATGTTAACTTGTCTGTGTTTTGAAATCACTGGGATCTTTCAAAAATTCCCAAGCCCAGGCCTCATTTCAGAGCAGCTCAATCTCAGGCCCCGGGAGTGGGCCCTGTCTGTACTGAAGCACCTCGGGGTGCCAGTGTTTGGGACCCCTGGCAGGCACGTTTGGGAACCCTGAATTAAGTGGAAGTACAATCCACATACACAACCAACCTTTGAGATATTTATCACTACATCAATCTGTAGTGTGAATAATTGCCTTTACTTTTCAGAAATCTGAATCTTGCACATATTATACCAATTTCCAAACCAAGTCCATTTCAGATTACATGTATCTTTTCTAAATAAACATAAGCTGAGACAACTCTGGGTCCGGACAGCTTGTGATCCTCGAACGGTTTTCCAAGTGGTGGGAGAGAATGCCCTTGTTACTCAATTGCGGTCATTGTATTTTCTGGGAGAGACTTTAAAATGGAGAAAGTGCAGGTGCAGCAAGCCAGAGAGGGTCGGGAATCCTGTCATATGAAGCATGACCAGACACTGAGTGTTTCCTTCAGAGAAAAGGACACGGGGGGTCCTCAGCGTGGTCCTCCCGGCTGACAGGCTGTCCCGGAGAAAAGGCACAGTGGGGGAGGGAGGGCAGAGTGCCAGCCTCTGCAGTGCACTGTGGGAAAAGCTAAGACCACGATGGCGCAGGGACAGTGCGCTACCGTCAGGAGACCCATGTGGGTCTCCTGGGTGCCTGCCACCTCCTCCTCCCCAGGGTTACTGTGAAACCAGCACTGTCCGCTCCCCTGGACCTTCAGTAACTCTGCAGCACAGGGAGGGAAGCTGTAGCTTAATATAAAGAAGAATCTTCTCATGCGGCTGTCCAGGAAATAACAGTTTTTCCTGTAAGGTGGTGGCTTCTTGTCACTAGAAACAACGACGCAAGTTTCTAGTGACCAGTTGTCCTGGGTCCTGACGGGACGGTGTCTGCATGGAGTGAGGTCAGGATGAGATCATCTGACGCTGCATCCCAGTTCGTCACATTCTATGACATGGTGCGCTATTACGTATCAGTATTTACTTTAGTCATAATAAATCATATAATTTAAAATAAGATTGTTATAGTCTACAGGCCCGGTGCATGAAAATTCATGCACTGGAGGGGGGTGGTCCCTCAGACTGGCCTGGCCCTCTCAAAGTCTGGGAGCCCTCAGGGGCAAGAGGCGAGCTGGTGATCAGGGGAAGACAACAGCCCATCACATCTCTGCTGCTGCCACTGCCAGCAGCACAAGCCTTGGGCGACCCTAGGGGGCTGGGCAGCTGCCAACCAAGGCTTGCTTGTGCCTCGGGCAGCTAAAGGGCTGAAGGGACTGGAGGACTCCAAAGGCAGGCCCTGCCACCCTGGCCAGGCTGAGGGAACTGGGTGCCACCATCTTTGAGGGCGGGGCAGTCAATTAGCATATCCCCCCCTTATTGGCTGTGGATGCTGTCATCTTTGAGGATGGGGCAGTCAACTAGCATATTCCCTCATTGGCTGTGGGCTCCATTATCTTTGTGACCACGTGAGGGTCAATTAGCATATCCCCTCTTTAATAGATAGGATGCTGTTATTCATATAATGAGAACAATTTTGAGGCTAAATGTTCATGTTTTCCATATTACTTAAGAATTCATATCATAGAAATGCTATATTCTTGACACAAAATTTTCTTTTTCAGATGATAAGAGCATGGTTATTTTTAGTATGATTTTTTTTTTTTTTAATATATACACTACTTTGAACTTCCCTAATTAAGAAATCAGAACAGATGTGTATCCTAATTAAGAAACTCCCTTGAGCCCTAGCTGGTTTAGCTCAGTGGATAGAGCATTGGCCTGTGGACTAAAGGATCCCGGGTTCAATTGCAGTCAAGAGCATATGCCTGGGTTGCAGGCTCAATCCCCAGTAGGGAGTGTGCAGGAGGCAGCCTATCAATGACTCTCTCTCATCATTGATGTTTCTATCTCTTTCCCCCTCTCTCCTCTTCTCTGAAATCAGTAAAAAAAAAAGATTTTTAAAAACCCTCCCTTGAAAATAATTGTATTTTACTATTCTTAAAAACAAACCAAAAAATTGTTAAGAAGTAAGAAAGACCCAATAATTCAAAATGTATTTAAATAAGTCACTCTGTCTTTTATTTTAAGGCTTGTCGTCTGGATCCTGCATTGGCAGATGAACTTCACTCTTTACTTATTCACCAAAGAATTTAGACCACAGTGCATTTCAACAAAGACCGTGCGTCCTAATGCCTTCAAATGTATGTATTTTTATAACAGTAACATCTAGTTATTTTCTGCTTCGCAAGTTACATATCTTGGTTTTTTTCCTGATTGCATGTCACTTTCGTTCTTGAATTTGTATTTCATTAATTTTGTGATTTGAAATGTAGCTACAAGCTCAGATTGCTGGATTAGTCCTCAGAAATCCAGCTCTTAGACTCTAGACTGGCCTACGCCAACCACATCAAATACTGAAAACCATTCAAACAGTGTCCTAAAAGACTTAGTGCAGCCTTAATTTTAATAACTTCAGAAGTATAAATGCTACCACTCATAAAATTTTATATGCATTTTGAATAAATTTGTCATTTTAACTTGTTTTTTAAATGTTTTAATTTAAAACTCACAAAAATGTGTAAGAAATTTAATGTGTGTGTTTATTTTATAATTTGTGTAACACTTGAGCTTCTGAAGTTACTAAAGCTAAGACTGCACCGAATCTTCTGGGACATTTTATATTCTCAAAAGAAATTCTTATAAATAATTAACTTGGCTGATTTATGATAAACTTTAAAAACAGTGGGTTTAAGAAATTGCTTAGACTTCACCCTTCTTTATCTTAAATATCTTAATTTAATGAGGGAAAAACTGCTCTATTCCTGTAAGACAATCAATTAAAGCAAGAAGTTTTCTTTGTATTTCATTTTCTACATTTTAAGAAACCTAGATGTATTTCAAAGGAATATGAAATGTGCAAAAATCCCAATGAAATCATCAATACAGAACTATAACTAAATATGGTTAAAAGTTAAATGAGCAAGAGGCTTTCTTTATATCAGTGATATTAATGAAGGCAAAAAAATGACTGAAAAGTGGAATTCATATGCAGAGTACTGTAGTGGTATACATCTGTGAAACGAAAACATTGGCAACGATGTCTTAAGATACCTAATGTCTTCTTCGTAAACATTCTAAGCTAATGTTGCTTTATGGAATGGTATCCTCCTCTTCCGGCTTCCCCATCTCATCCCTGCCCCTCTTCAGTTCAGCTCACATCCCACCTCCTGAATGCACCATTTCAAGCACTAATAAGGCTCTTCTCATTCGCATCAATCATCGTATTTGTTACATATTCATTCTTGTCTGGATAAAAGGCAGCAAACTTCTCATTTCTTTGCAGAAGTACTTACATGCACAGGGTTTTCTACAAAAAGGGTGCCAGGAAGTATTGCCACCTCTTTTTTTGAGATATAAGTGTCTTAAACATCACAGAGCTCTATGCTTTGTTTTTAAATTTTATTGCTTCAAATGCTTCAAACTATGGGAAATCTTTGGTAAAAATAAAGACAAATTTTCACAAGAACTTTACATAAAGGATAGTACAACAATGTTCTTCAATACACATGAATATAGGAATGTTCAAAATCCTCAGAGAGGAAATTAACTGTACAGTATTCACAGCTCTTCATTTTAAAACAGCTTTTCATAAATATTTATAATATTTCCTAGGTTCTTATCACATTAACACTTATATTTCAACTTTAAAGTATTTATATCCTTATTAAAATAATCCCAATCATTAACAGAAGTGGTTTTTCCGATGCCTGCTACAGCATCAATCTGCTTAGCTCACATGAAACTGGAGGGAGGTCCCTAAAATAAAAGTCAGGATTGTTCTCAGTGAGGCCCTCTGCGGAAAAGAGGAAATGGTTCATGTCTATTATCACAGACATCTTGGTGGTTTATTCGTGCAGACTCAGACCTGGCCGGCTCTCAGCGGGTCCCCCTGAGCTCGCAACTCAGGACACAGTTCAATCAGCAGCAATTCCATCAGCACCTAACCAAGAGAGGAGGAGAAAAGAGGAGGAAAGGGTGTTTTCTCTCTGAGGGTTTACTCCAATATCTATCTACAGTTAGGAAAAAGGTCTAGTTTTAGGCCTGGGTTATTCTCAGTGAACAAATTACTCTCAAGGAGAGGGAATCCACGGTTATTTCGTGGCCTGTTAATCACTACCAACCGTCAGCAATGTTTACCATGCTACCTGTGAGAAGACGGCGGCCTGGGACACCATTTGCTATTGACATGAGAAAGCCAAGCAGCCGGCACAGATACCACAGGCCACAAAGCAGACAGCGTGAGAATGAGGACAGTGCAACCACCAGGGGCATGTTTTCCTCTCTTCTTGCCACCAGGTTTAATAGGCAGACACACAAAGGGAAGCAGAGAACATGGGTCAGAGCTGCAAGGAATAGGAACGATGAAGAATACAGAGATTGTGTGTGTGAACAGAGTGTAAAATTAAAGAAACAGCCCAGTGGTGGGCTTTGCATTACTCACATATAATAGATGCTTATTGGCTCTTGTTTCTTGCAGTGCATTGAATATTTTTATTATACCATGACGGGCATTTTGCTGTCCAACAAGGTTCTGAAGCATATCTGAAAAATTAAGTTTAGATGCTACGCTGTTATTGACCAAGTGCATAATGTGTAGCTATTCAGTGAAGGAGATCTTACGTGTATGTGCACAACAAATGAAGGCACTGCCTTGGCCAGTGTGGCTCAGTTGGTTGGAGTGTCATCCTGTACACCAAGTACATCAAACTTGTGGCCCGCGGGCCGCGTGCCTCATTTCTTTGGCCCACGTTAGCCTTAGAGTTTGGCATGCTTGCTGTACACCAAAAGGTTGCCGGTGCCATTCCTAGTCAAAGCACACACCTAGGTTTCAGGTTCAATCCCTGGTCGGGCGTGTATGAGAGGCAACCGATTGATGTCTCCCTTCTATACCCCCCTTTTCCTCTCCTGTCCTCTCCCTTTCTTTTTTTCCCTCTGTAAAATCAATAAATATATCCCTTATTATAAATAAATAAAGGGAAGGAAAGAGAGGGGAGGGGGGGGGGAGGGAGGAGAAAGGGAAAGGAAGAAATCTATGGCCTGAGGAACATGACCGATCAGTTCTTTTCAAATGTTTAAAGAACAAAGGTTATTTAGAATTTTTCAACATAGGCATTTATACACACTGTAATTTTAATACAGTGCTACCCAATTAAAAACGAAGTGTTCAAGACACTATACTTTTTTCCTGGCCGGTGTTGCTCAGTGGTAGAGCATTCACCCGTGTACAGAGTGATGGGTTTGACTCCGGGTCAAGGACATGTACCTGGGTTGCAGGTTTGTTCCCTGGCCTTGGTTGGGGTACATGCAGGAGGCAACCAATCAATGTATCTCTCTAACACTGAGGTTTTTCTCTCTCTTCCTTTCCTTTCCTCTCTCTAAAAATCAATAAACATGTCCTTGGGTGAGGATTAAAAGTAAGTAAATAATTAAATAAATGCACCATGGCCTAAGGAACATGAATGATCAGTTTTTTTCAAATGTTTAAAGAGAAAATAAGATTTAGAATTTTTCAACATAAGACATTTATACAAACTATAATTTTAATACATTGCTATCAAATTAAAAATTAAGCATTCAAAACAGTGTACTTTAGTCGAATTTTTAAAGCAACGTATTTATTATGTGTTCTAAAACATTCTTCTGGTTGAAAGAATTATATAACTAACACTGTTCTTTTTTTTTTTTAAATATATTTTATTGATTTTATACAGAGAGGAAGAGAGAGGGATAGAGAGTTAGAAACATTGATGAGAGAGAATCATCGATCAGCTGCCTCTTGCACACTCCCTACTGGGGATGTGCCCGCAGCCAAGGTACATGCCCTTGACCGGAATCGAACCCGGGACCCTTCAGTCCCCAAGCCAATGCTCTATCCACTGAGCCGAACCGGTCTCGGCACTAACACTGTTCTTATTAAGATTCTCCGTACAATGTCTTAGCAAGGGGCAGGACATGACTAAAAAATGTAATTTTTCATAGCAAATAGTGTTTCCAGACAGATCTGAGTGAACCCTCATCAGCTAACCTCCCTCCCTCTCTGCCCGCAGGTGAGAAGCCGCCTCACCTGGAATGTTTTCTAGCAGCTTCTGCTGGGCTCTCTGCTTCGTTTCCTGGCTTTGCTCTTTGCTTCTGATTTTGGTCGGTGGTGCCAGTTTCCCGTTTGGCCAAAAAGCATCCCGGAAAACGGTGATGTAGTAAACCAGCATCTGCTCGCTGAAAATCCAGTTTACCGTGTCCCGAATTTGTCTTTTAAGAGAAATATATTTCTTGGATGAGGTTTTAAAAATTTTTTCATACTCAGTTCTCAAAAGGCATTTATCAATTATCAATAAGTAGGTTAAGACACAGCCTGGTCTAAATGTTTGATGAATAAACTAGGAATTGGCTTTTTAAACTCTGGCTCTGAGAGTTGGTTGTGATTTTGGTAAATCCTGAATGACCATTTATTCCTGAGCTTGCATTTTCTTTGGTGCTGACTTCTGTGGTGTCTTTCACTGAGAGGAGACTGACTTGTCTGAAGCTTGCACTATTCTAACTGTGCTCAGAACTTAATACACTGATTTCTCCATGAAGTGCTGTCAACCGGAAGCAAGCCACCGAAAGGCGTTAAAAGGGGCTGAAACATCCCCGAGTCCTGAGGTGCGGGGAGAACCACATTTCCTGGTCTGGGCATGCTGTGGCAGATCAGCCGGCAGAGTCCTCACCCAGGGACTCATGGCACATGCTCACCGGGAGGACCAAGAGATTCGCTCTCCAGCCATTTCCCATCTCCCCGGGAATGAAAGTCGGGCACGGTGATAAATAAATGGATTTTATCTGCAGCCAGGTCTCCTCCACAACCCTGGTTTCATCGTTGTTAGTCCAAGTCTAACCAGTTATGGGGCTGCTGTCAGGGGACAGGTAACTGCCGTGCAGAGCCCAAGCGTGGCTGTCACTGGGAGCAGGGAGTCTCTTTGTTGGGAGGGGAAGAATCATTTGCGAATTCAGTGCCAGAAAGACCTGAAATTTCAAACTCAATTCATGAGCAATAAATTTAAGAATTGGACTTACCAACCAGATTTTTAAAGGGACAAGGTAAGGTTTTCAGACTGCACACAGTCACCGGTCACTACTGAATCTCCCCTCCACTGGAGTCACACTGTTGTCTGTCTGTAACTGCACGTCTCCAAGACACCCCCCTATGCTGCTTAGGACGTCCATGCAATGCACATCCAGACCAAGTACAGTAACTGCAGTAACTTAACGGCTTGTGGTGTAGAGCCTGCATCACCAGGCAGACATCGTTTCCTGTCACGGGTCTTTGGGTTTATCACAGTTGCTCCATGAAGAATGAATAAGAACTTTTCAATTTGCAACTTAATACTGGGTAGTGACTCTCACCAGAGGCCATCGCCTACGTCTTTTCTGTTATAATAGGTCAGACTTTCTATCAGCCAAAGCCACAGGAAGCTCTGAAGCAGTCCTGGTCTGTGGAATGGGAGTTGTACATGGCAAGTGCTACTGCTGATTTCTATGTCATCATCAGCCAAAGGCAAAGCAGCAAAGGCCCGCGGGCAGGGCTCCATGGTCCCCGCCTGACAAACAGCACTGCGAGGAAGAGCCGACATCCTGCAGGCGCCCCTCCTCCAGCCCTGACATGACAGAGCCATGTCTACATGGGAGCAAGAAAGTGTGAATGACTTGCCGAAACTGAAAATAAAATATATCTGCAGGTCTGAATACTGAGGACAATAGGGCCATTGTGGGAATTTCTTTATCCAACGCTTATCAATACTAAAACTAAATTTTGACTCTGACCAAAACTTAAACAGGCCATTTTTTCTGATTAAAACAAAAGCCTTTGATATGAACTAAAGAAATCACCAACACCAGTTTTATTTTATTTTTAAAAAAATATATTTTATTGATTTTGTACAGAGAGGAAGGGAGAGAGATAGAGAGTTAGAAACATCGACAAGAGAGACATCGATCAGCTGCCTCTTGCACACCCCCTACTGGGGATGTGCCCGCGACCAAGGTACATGCCCTTGACCGGAATCGAACCCGGGACCCTTCAGTCCCCAAGCCGATGCTCTATCCATTGAGCCAAACCGGTCCTGGCACCAACACCAGTTTTTAAAAACATCTTAGAAATAAATAGAAATAAACTTTTGTTTATGACCAAGGAAAATTGCAAATGAATAAGAAGATAACACATTTTTATGTTTCCCATAAAAATGTGTAAGATTTATATGATTAAACTATCACTTTAATCTTGTACGTGTTGGACGACAAAACTAGTCTTTCAGCCGAGACCGGTTTGGCTCAATGGATAGAGCGTCAGCTTGGGGGCTGAAGGGTCCCGGGTTCGATTCCGGTCAAGGGCATGTACCTTGGTTGTGGGAATATCCCCAGTAGGGGGTGTGCAAGAGGCAGCTAATCGATGGCTCTCTCTCATCGATGTTTCTGACTCTCTATCTCTCTCCCTTCCTCTCTGTACAAAATCAATAAAATATATATTTTTTTAAAAACACTTTCAATTTGAAAAATCTGATTTTCATCTTAAAATAGTTGCTGTACAAAAATGTGATTTCTCTCCTTATTTTTAACAGTCGACTCACACTTTTATTGTGTAAGAAAGCCGTAATGTTTGTCTCCTGAAGAATACTAGATATGGAGTTAAACTCTTATGTGTACCAGTGTAGACAATGGAATATTAAAATATTCATATGGTTTATAATAGTGTTATATGATGCACACACACACCCCTGATGGATGCTCAAATATTAACAAGAGGAATTACCCTTTTAATGTTATCTGACTAAAAAATGAATGGTTTGCATTTCCCTCCAAGTACATAGCGGCCGTGTGTAAGGCTCAGCCTACTTTCATTTTGGTCTAGACTAGAGTCTAAGCCTTAACCTGCCTCCCATCAGGTGACACAAAAACACGGTACCCAAGACACTCAAACTGGTCATCAGGATCAGAGAGAACTTCACCCCGTGGCCGGGATGCGGAGCTAGTCCGAGCCCTCGCCATGGAGCTCACCGGGCACTCTGAGGGAGAGCATCTTCAGTAATCTGCCTTCCCAGCCAATCTCAGAATCGTATCAGAAACAAGAGGAGGAAACGAGATACCTTCAATGGGAAAGATGACTGGCGGCTGTACCACAGCTAATTTGACTAGTAAGGCAAAGAGTAGGCATGAATTCAAATATTAATTTTGTGCAACTCACTTGTTGATGGTTCTTCCAAAAGTGACCTGAACGAGAGCAATTAATGTTCTTCTCACCCATTTAAACACTAAAATGTAAGTCAGAGGAAAAGTATTGTCACAGGAGGGCACAGTGATGACATTTTCATAGCTCACAAAGCACACACACATCAGCGAATTCAACTGCGGGCTTGACACCACGCCAGGCCCTGGTAGCTGCAGGATGCGGGTCTAGGTTAGCAAACTTCTGCCCAGGAACATTCTTACTAAGCTTGCATCTTCTGCTTAGCAACCAGTAAGATGAAACCTAGGAGTTTTTACAGCTTTTCAATGCCCAAACAACAGCTGAGCTAACCAGTGGAAATAACACTTATTTCCCTGGCTCCTGACAACGTCTGTTTGCCACCAGCAGACAGATTTCTGTCTGGCTTGTTGCCCAATTTTCTAACACTTCTCTGAATGAGAAACATGTGCAGTCAAATGTCCACAAATATTGTGAAATATTAATGAACAGATGGGCTAACTGCTCCCATTTGAGCAGCAGTTTGCAGAGCATCATGCACTTTTGTATATTTAATGCCGCTGGGCGAACAGCAGGATCCTGAGCCGTGAATTTGGTCCTCTCCTGCTGCCTGGAGCAGCTGGGCAAAAGCTACTTCCTCTGAGCCTGTTCCCATCAGGAAAGGACAGTATTAACATGTGAGGTTTTTTTGCGCTGAGGTCTTGTCAGTATTTTGTGTGAGTGTTGTGAAGGGTTCTATAAATCTAAAAGTTTATTATTCTGTAGGTACAGAATATAAACATAAACAAAAAGAAGGCAAAGTAATGCTGTGAGGATACTTTAGGTCTGCACATTGGAAACTAAACCAATGTGCCATGTATATAGTCACCTCCATTCATTGAAGCATGTAGCTACAGACACAGGAGCAAATGAGACACTCAGACTTCACTATGATGGAGCCGAGAGCTCAGGGCTCCTGTGCACACACCCTCTGCACACGGAAGCCACAAACACATGTGAGCAATGCACACAGGCCTGGTTCTAGACTTCAGAACAGTCTAAGGTCATTTCTAAGATTTTAAATGGATACAAATGACCAGTTAAAGAAGTGTTGTTAATCCTTCCAGTAAGATTCAAGTCCTGGAGTGGAGACCATGCCTGTAAAAGCACCTTACGTTCCCGATGGCACACGGGGCACGCTGCCCGCTGGTAGGCCCTGTTGCCTGAGGCTGGCACTCAGGCTGGGCGCTTGGCTGGCAGGGACGGTAACTCACCGGCCTGTCCAGGGCAGGAGGGAGGTGAATCCTACCAGGGTCTGAGGACATGTGCATCTCGAGAAACAGGCCTGTCAGCCGACTGACTGCTTATATGTGTACAAAGACTGTATTATTACTGGTTCCTTGTTGCACACTCAACCAGAGCAGGAACCAAAAGTGGCCTTGCTGCAAATTCCCTCCTATCACTGATACCTGCTTACTCTACTCCTTTTCCTGTCCTCCCCACCCCCAGGAATGTACAAAACAATGACTCCTTCCAAGAGCGCCTTTGCTCAAAGCCACGGAGGCAGCTGCAGCAACACTAGGATTTTGCTGACGGCAAAAATAGAGCATCTCATTATAAATGATGTTCTATTTCCCCCCCTCGGAAATGTCGCCAGAAAAGCCAAATATGCATCTGAGCAGGCACCAGATGGAGGACCTGCTCCTGCCCTGACTGGCCTGGCAGACCCACCGCAGCGGGATCTCTGCTTGCAGAGGCGAAGACTGGGAACCAGGCCTCACCACTTCATGAGGAAGCGGGGGAGATTCTGGGTGGAAGGCTAGTGTTTCTGACCTCCCCGAACCCAGGGAAATGGCAGTAAATATCTGACAGTGTCTGCAGTATGCAACAGCTGTAGCTCTTTCATCTGAAAGGATCTTCACTATTTGGGTGATATTCCATCACCCAAATGTAACCCCCGCTTCTGACATTTTGCTTAGTTCCAACTTTTCAATATTGAGATTTTGCTGAAAATGAACATCCTTACATATAAACCTCTGCCTGCAGTTTTGAATTGAATTGTGTCTGATGCTTAATGTGAGTTCCATTTTTGGAACCCTTATCTTGTAAATGCACTGAAGGAAGAATCTGTATCTGACATAGTTTTGTGTCCCCTGCAGAGCATCTAAAATATGCTCCCAAGTATTTGCTGATTGTTTAAGTTTGGGCTTAGGCGAAGAAAAAGTTCAATGATCAAATCTATTAATTCCAGCGCTTAAAATGTTCTCGCCTATTCATCCGTCAGTGCATCCATCAGGCATGTTACTGACCACCTACTATGGGTCAGACATGGTAGCAGTCACTGAGGAATAAAAGTCACAGACACACCTAAGTTTATAAGACCACTTGGAGTCTTTTCATCTGCTAATAATTCTGTAGGTGACATTAGGGGATATATAATTCAGAAGGGACACATAGCCCCACTTCCGGGATAAGACCCACTCCCAGCTCACCTCCTTTGCCCCAAGGGAAAGATGCTATTCTAGGTGGAGAGCCCAGGATAGCCAGGGGTTACCACTTGACTGGCTGGTGCCATCAGAATGCCTTGCCAACAACCCTGCTCTCTCTGTGCTTCCTCTTCTGGGTGGGCCTTCAGGCACCATCACATCCCAGCTGGCACTGAGGCCCCCAGTGTGACTGAGTGCACGTCTCATTAGAGAGTGTGGGGGCACTGAAGGTGTGTGTGTCGGGGGGGGGGGCGGGGGGGGTAGTGGAAGGTGTGTGTGGGGGATGGAGGGGGGAGGAGACAGAGAGTCCTGTTTAGGACTCAAGACTAAACCAAGTAGTACAGTTTGACTTTTCACCCAACTACTGCTTTAGGAGAGAGGCCCTTGGGTGGGTCTTAGCAAAATAGTATTTTGATCCTATTTTGCTCTTGTTTCTTCTAAGTTCATGTCCCCTGAGAGCTACCAAGGTAGGCATTCTCAGTCAGCATGCCTGGCCCTGGGGGCAGGTAAGTCTGTGGGGAGGGGCTCGCCTGGGCATCGCAGGAAGTTTAGCGGGACCCTGGCTTCCACCCACTGGCTGCCTGTGGCATCACCCCAACCAAAAAGGTTCCCAGACATGCCACGTGTGCCCTGCGGACAGCACTCCCCCAGCCCTCCAGTGATTGCCACTCCTCCAGGGAAAGAAAGGTGGTTGAGGGTGAAGCAGGATGGAGGCTGTCCTGTGTCCCTGGTCATAACACCATCTCGGCAACACCCAAACCTCATCTTCAACAACAGGCTGCTCCTCTGCTACGAAATGGTATTTCTGCTTACCCTTAGGTGATGAAGCAGTGAGACTGTGCTAAGTGACACGAAAAGAAATTCAAGGCATTCTCTTTCTGAGCTCAGAGGGACATGGTGCAGGTAAGTCAGGCCCTGAGTGCCAGGAGAACACTAGCCATCTGTCTGAAGGCTGCAACCTCAGGTCCAGCCATAGTACCTGGTTGGCCCTTAGGAGTATTTTCTGGATGAATGAATGAATGAATGAGTGAATAAATGAACATTAAAAACAAGTTTGGTTCAGGAATAAAGGTATATTAAATGTGTATACGATGTATAAACCCTTAACTAGAAAATAACACTAAATAATAACAAAAAGACTTACTTCCTCGAAGCTCAAAAATCTCCCCAATCAACATGAAGCACGGTTCGGCCAAGGAGTCTTTCCTCCCGTCCACGTCGTCGCCGTAATCTGACAGGTCACTGTCCTCCTCCGCCTCCTCCTGGGGGGCAGAAGAGTCGTAGGAGCAGGTCATTTACCCAAGAAAGTGAGAGAGTAGTTGTCCTTTTCAAGGGTTAATTCCAAACTGTGTGGTAACATCTCAGCCGCACACAGTCCCTCAGCCATCCTGCAGCAGACACCTCTGCACTTCCAGTGAAGAGGGGAAATGAATCTAACCCCAAGGGAGAGCCTGATCTGACACTTTAAAAGGTTTAAAATGACTGAAAAACCTGTCCCCGGGCTGATAAGGAGTGAATTAGTAGATAGCGAAATAGTTTCCTAAGCATTTTGAGCTTTAAAAGGCTTTTTAACTTGAATGGTTTTAAATTTGCTGTTCTTAAAACTGCATGTTTTAAAGAAATCTAGCTATTTTTAAAGCTCCGATTCAAGCTTTTATTCTGTCCTTCAGCTAGTCTCACTTCCTGATCTGCATGTCAGCAAGCTGCAGGCACCAGGCTAGTGCCAAGGAGCGCCACGTGGATCCAGACTTGGCAGCCCGCAGCTCTGGGGAGACTGACAGATAGTCAGTAACTGTTTCTACAAGGAGGCGAGGTGCCGTGAAGAGGTGGGGAATAAGCTGGAAGTCAGCCAGCCAGGCATAGCCAGACATGACATGCAGGGCCTGAAGGGAAGAGGGAGGGACCCTGAGACGGAGCCGGTGTGCACGGACACCAGCACCTGGTGTGGACATACTCTGTGCTGCACAGTCCTCCCAGCCCAGAATGCAGCAGCATGGCTCCCTTCCGTCACCAGTTCCTTCTGTCCAGCTCAGAAAGGGGCATGTGGCAATGAACTAAGGAGATGCCATTTGGGAGACGGTCTTGTTGCAGCCTGCTGGAGAGCCAAACCAGGCTTCCGTGGCCTGAATGTGAGGGGGCTGAGGTAAGATGGCAAATGTCTGCCGTCTCCCTCTGCTCACCCGTACGTACCACTGCTTCAGAGTAGTCCGGGGCTTCCATTCCCTGAAAACCAAGTCTGAACCCCTCTGCCTGCACTCCCTCGGTAGGGCTGGAGGTCCAGACATCGAACTGGACCTCCAGTTCAAACGTTCTCTGCCCGCGGTCCAGGCGCATGTGACATCCAACCAGCGGGAGGTGGCAGGGCCCAGGTTACCCAGCCTTCAGTTGTGCATAGGGAACTAGGCTGGCCAATTCCTTATTCCCAAGATGCCTTTCGCCCGGCACTGAGATACCAATGGGATGTGAGGATCTCCCACCTCCCCTCCAGCTCAAGTCATTCCACATGCCTGCATGTTACTGGCCCCTTCGTTCCCGCCTCTGTGCTGCCACGTGGCTTGTCGGGAGCACAGCAGGTGTCCAAAGCGTGACTGGAAGTGGATGCCTCTGCCTTTCCCCGCTAGTAGCCTGCTTTCGACCAACACCTGCCGCTTCGAACTGCCTTCAGGAAGACATCTGCTTACACCCGCTAACAATGGCACAACTCACCTCCTGGTGGGAGAAGAAGTCGCGGGGAAGTCTTTCCAGAAAGGAGGACAATGAAAAGGTGGACTTTTTCCCCTGCACGTCAATAGCCTTGAGGTAGTCGGGAGAAGGGCTCAAGAAGGCATAAAGTGCTTCGCTCTGGTACAGCCTCTCATCCGAGAGCAGATTCTGGGGAGGAAAGGGCTGATCACTGCTCGGTGCGAGCACGTCTGTGCTGCGGAGGCCACGGCCCGGGCAGTGGAAGCAATTCCCGTCATCAGAATCCTGAGCCCAAGCCCCTTCCCTTCCCCTGGAACACAGCGTCGCAGATCAGCTCTCAGTGGTCGCGATGGCAGACCAGGCTCTCCAGGTGGCCCGGGCCAGTCCTTCTGCCGGCGGAGACTGCAGGCAGCAGAGCTCACCTGGTCTGCAGGCTCCCTGCCACCCAGATCCTCACTTCGCACACAGTTAGCAGACCCCAAACCCCTGCCTCTGAAATGCCCACTCATTTGTGTTTGAACCGCTTACACATCTGCACAATACAAAGGACCACCCTTTCATGGCTACATTCAGACCCTGCACAGCAGCTGGAAAAAGGAGCCTGAGCCGTCCCACGGCGGCAGTGCCCACCAGACAGCAGTCTCGTCTCTCTCTGCTCCCTCTGCCAGAAGGCTCTGGCTCAGGAGCAGTGGCGGGAAGGAAGCTGGAGGGACCAGCAATCTTCTGTTTCTGGGCTGAGGGTGTGTTCAGTTTGTGAAGACGGAGAAGACTGTACACTAAATGCCTGCATTTTTCTGCAGGGACAGTACACGTTAGTTACCAAAAACCGACCCCTGAGGATCGGCACAGCCTGTGGGAGCAGAAAGCACACCAGCAAGCTCTTCCACTGATGGCAGTGTAACCCAGAGCAACCGGCTTTCCTCTCACAGCGAACACGCTCCATCCGGTCTTACCTGGAGAAACTTGTTCAACTGCTTCTTGGACTTCTCCATAAACTTTTGATCGATGGACTTGAAAGGCAGCTTGCTGAGGGAAGGCAGCTGGACTTTTTTTAAAGAAGGGAAGCACTGTGGGGAAGGGGTTCAAGGTTAGAATCTTGAACTTACATTTTAATCTTGGGAAGAGACTCAGAATTACAAACAGAACAAACCAGGTACCTTCCTCCCATACTCGTCCCACTGAGATTTGAGACTTGAAAGCCTACCAGTTCTAACCAGGCTCACGGAATCTGGAGGAGAGGGATCTGTGATGAAAAGGCTGAAGCTCACCCCGGACCCCGAGTCCTGGAGCCGCGGACAGGCTGGTGAGCACACACGCCCAGGAGCACGGCCCGCAGCACGCAGACCGGCCCACAGGAGAACGTGCGGTTTACAACATCAAAGACACAACGGGAAGAAGGAGTAACTGGGTTGAAGCTGTTGCTGTCTGTAGCGGCAAACTGCAGGATGCAGAGCTATTACTAATGATGCTGTATGTCACAAATAAGGACCACACTTCCCTCTGTGGCCTAGTCCTGGCCTGTGCCAGACGCCGTGCTAGAAGCCTGGCACGTGTAACGGCTCTGAGTCGGGAATTTCGATCGTTCCCATTTAACACGTGGCAAAACCGAGGGTCAGGATTTACACCCAGATCCATCCGACTAGGAACTCTGTGCTCTCTGTGGCAATCCCCACGGGACTCTGCCGGCTGCCTCCATGAGAGGGAGCGGGTTCCACATGCCCAGACACTGGCCTTCCCTGAGGCACGGGGGCCGTTTGCACCGGCGTCAGGAGATGGAGTGGGACAGAGAAGAAAGTGAGCACAGAGCCTGCCTGCCACAGCTCTTCTCCTTCTCCTCAGGGTCACAGCGGCCCCACGGCCATGTCACAGGTTCCCTGTGCCAGGTGTTTCCGGGGCCTTCCCCCACAGCACACTGACGCTGCCTTCTGCACACCCCCCACGGCAGGCGCCCAAGATGGAAGGACCATCCGGTGCCCAGATTCGGGGGGAGGTTTTAGAGAAACGAAACAGGCAGTGACAGTTGGAAGGGAATGTGAACTCAGCAGGGACCTACAGAAGGTGCTTCCTGTCACAGCTGGCAAGAAGTGAACACTCACTCGCCAGGAAACACCCAAGTAGGAGAGACCCAGTAAACAGGCCACAGGGAGGAGAGGTGACGACAAGAGGAAAACCAGACGTGGAATTCAGTTTCCCCTCGTGCTTCAGTGTAATTGTCTCTGATTTCCAAAGAACATTTTATTTTCACGTACATTTTATTTTAAATTCTCCTGTAAATTCCCTTCTCTCCCTCCTTCTGTTTTTATCAGCAACTAGACTGATAAAAACTTGGGCTTCACAAAGGTTAGTCACAGGGCAAAGGATGCATCTTCTGTAGTGTCAACTGTAGTCAGCATTTTGGGGAAAACTTGTTCTTATGTTGAGGTGAATATTTTGTTTTCCATGCTGCTAACGTGGCCATAACCCACTTGGGAAACCTTGTCGTATGACACCGTCCTTTAAAGCAGGTGAGGAAGTGATAGCATCCAGGCAGGGGTCTTCAAACTACGGCCCGTGGGCCACATGCGGCCCGCAGAGGAGTCTGATCCGGCCCGCCAGGTTTTTTGGGCAGTGAGCGCAGCCGAGGTGTTACAGTAGGAATTAGTAGTTCATATAGTCCGGCCCTCCAGCTCTCTGAGGGACCGTGATCTGGCCCCCACTTTAAAAAGTTTGAGGACCCCTGATCCAGAGCTTAGTGATTAAAGAGTTTTTTAAAACCATCCCAGGAGAAAAGGTTAAGGAACAGACATGTCACTGACAAAAGAGGGTCTGAGAGGTGGCCACAGGTTTTAACCAGGAGGAGTTCATTCTGAGCAAGAGATTAAAGGGATGTGAGAGCAGAAGCGAGTGGAGAACTTTTGAACGGCTGGGTGGAGGCGATCACCTCCACAGGAGGAGACTTAGAGGAGACATCTCTGAGGCCGGTGGGGGAGTAAAGAATGGAAACAACACAACCTGCACTCTAACTGCTTTAAACCCAGATCCCTCAGGTCATGGAACTATCCACCATGCATACCTCCCATACCAAGGCAATTAAGCTCTCTGGGATCAGTTTCCCCATCTGTTGAATAAAAGAACTGACCTAGATGAGTGGTTCTCAAACATTTTTAAGCAAAATCCACAGTAGGAAATACGTGCTAAGTTGCAACCCACAACACACGTGCAGATGTGCATGTCTATGTGAATAATGGACACATACGTATACAATGAAACAGAAGTCCCATGAGACAATGCTCATTACCACCACCACCACAACACAATAATGTTTATTCTGTGCCACACACTCTCCTAAACACTGTGCATTCCTGTTCTCCTTCATCCTCACAGCAGTTCTGCGAGGGGAGGGCTATGCTGTTTGTATTTCCTGGTGAGAAGAAGAGGCAGAGACAGGCTGGCCCAGGCCAGAGCAGTAAGGACTCTCGCTGGGATCCCAGCTCCCAGCCATGCTCGGTCCTGACTCTTCACTGACTGCCCATGGTTCTGTGAGGAAATCCCATCGGTCCTAGTCTTGTCCCCTGCTGCAGCCATAGCGCGTGCACTGCCCTCTAATGGTCACCACTGGCAGCTGTGAAACCGCCGGGGACCCTGGCCGTCTTCCAGCTCTGGGGTCCTCAGGGGCTCCATTCACAATGAGATCAGACCATCATCTATCCTGAAGGATTTAGATGAATCTAGCCCTAACCGGTTTGGCTCAGTGGATAGAGCGTCAGCCTGCGGACTGAAGGGTCCCAGGTTCGATTCTGGTCAAGGGCATGTACCTTGGTTGCAGGCACATCCTCAATAGGAGGTGTGCAGGAGGCAGCTGGTCAATGTTTCTCTCTCATCGATGTTTCTAGCTCTCTATCCCTCTCCCTTCCTCTCTGTAGAAAAAGCAATAAAAACATATTCTAAAAAAAAAAAAATAGATGAATCTAGATGGCTTGGTCTATGAGTAAATTTCTAAATGTCAGGCTAAAAAAAACCACTTTGCCAGAATTAACAGCAAGAGAAAGATTAACCAGTTTCCTTACAGGGAAAAGAGCTGTCACACGTCCCCCTGCTCAGTCATTCTAACTTTCTGTGTGTGTTCGTACCTCACTGAGTTTCCGGTGTAAATTCTGGAACTCGCTAAGCCTTCTTGGGACGGTCCAGTTCTTGGTTTCAACTCCTCCCACGTCCTGTAAGCTCACCATGACAAAGTAACAGGGCATCTGCTCCCCGTTCTCTTCTGTGACCTTGGAAAACAGAACAAAACAAACACAGTAACCAAAAGCATGGGGAGCCCGTGGCAGCGCGATTTCCCACATCCCCAAGTCTCCCCTCCTCTGCGCAGACGCCCTGCACAGTCCCTGAGCCTGTGACTCTGGTGGGTTCTCTCCCGACAACGAGGGTAGTTATGGCACAGCTGACCTCAATACAGGGAAATGACCTGGGAGGGCCTAACCCCATGGTCAGCAAACTGCGGCTCTCGAGCCACATGCAGCTCTTTGGCCCTTTGAGTGTGGCTCTTCCACAAAATACCACAGCCTGGGCGAGTCTATTTTGAAGAAGTGGCGTTAGAAGAAGTTTAAGTTTTAAAAATGTGGCTCTCAAAAGAAATGTCAATCGTTGTACTGTTGATATTTGGCTCTGTTTGCCGACCATGGCCTAACCTAATCACATGAGGCCTTTTGAAGCAGAGAGCTCTCTGGCCGGTGGGAAGAGGCAGTCACAGAGGCGGGCTGGAGACACAAGACAGCATGCTGCCAGCCTCAGGATGGAGAGGGCGTGTGGAGAAGGTCTGGGAGCACTTCCAGGAACGGGGAGCATCCCCGCTGACCGCCAGCACAGAGACCTCCGCTCCACACCCTCCGGGAACCAATTCCGCCAACAACAGAGTTTCCCCCAGAGACTCTCGACAGGAACTCAGTCTGGCCACCATCTCGATTTCAGCTCTGTGACAGGATGAACAGAGAACCAGCCGCATCGTGCTGGACTATGGCCCCTGGTATTGCCATCTAAGAAGCGGGTGTTGCTTTTTTAAGCGTTGAAATTGGTGGTAATTTGTTCAACAGCAAAAGAAAACTAATATGGCAGCCTCACCATTCTGTGTTTCCCTGAAAATTCAAGTCAACAGCAAGCAAACAGGTGTGAAATATGAGGGTTTCCCCAGCTTAATTTCAGGATTCAACAAACCATGGTTTCTATTTTCATAAAATTTTACATTGGGAGACATAATGTTCTCACCTCCCAATTTAGATAATTCACAAACACACACATATTCATACAGATACACATATGCACCCCAACATATTCAGAAGGAGCCCACTATTATTATTATTTTTAAAACATGTTTTTACTGATTTCAGAGAGAGGAAGGTATGGAGACATCAATGATGAGAGAGAATCATTGATAAGCTGCCTCTTGCACACCCCACACCGGGGACTGTGTTTGCAACCCAGGCCTGTGCCCTGACTGGGAATCAAACCGTAACCTTCTGGTTCATGGTCAACTAGTCGATGCTCAACTACTGAGCCACACCGACCAGGCAGAGGCCACTATTGTTTTTAATGCAAATTGATAACAGAAGAAACAAAAGAATTGAAGCTTGAATCAGTAACAAATCAAATTAGAGAGAAAGAGCCAACAAGAAAAGCACAGAACAGAGATGTGAGAGCTACTGAGCATGCGCTGAGCCCTGTGAGGCAGGACTGTCATCCCCTGTGAGAACGGGAAGTGGAGGCACAGACAGGCTCTCTGACTGTCCTAGCATCATACGTCTAGTAAGTGGGGGGTCCAGCCTCAGCCCAGGAGAGTCTGGAGCTGTGTAAACACGCCCACACATTCCCGTGGGACTGTGACTGGCAATGAGACAACCCCACTGGGTGCATTCCGTTCCCGCTGCAATGCCCTGGTGCCGCAGCAAGCTCCTGAGTACAGCTGAGGACCAGGGCAACGTGCCTGTGAGAGCTCTCCCCCGCCCTCTCTCCCTCCTGCAGCATCTGCCTTTGGAAGGTGATTTTAATAAACTGTGAAATGTCAGAGGCAGCTCTAAGGCAACAGTGAGGAGATGACAGAATTTGTGTTCTTTCCATCCACTGGCCTCCCTCTACCATTTTTGACATTAGATACCCCTGACTTCACCCTAAAGATAACTCTATCTGCAATTATCAAGGGTTTCTTTTTAATCCTCACCCAAGAATATTCTTAGAGGAAGGGAGAGGAGAGGAGAGGGGAGGGGAGGGGAGGGGAGGGGGGGAGGGGAGGGGAGGGGACGGAGGAGGGGAGGGGATAGAAGAGAGAGAAAGAAAGAAACATAGATCAATTGCCTTCTATATGTGCCTCAACTGGGGATCAATCCCACAACTCAGGTATGTGCCCTGACCAAGAATCAGACCAGCATTGTCCTGTGTAACCTACTGGCTGTGCATCAAGGCTGACATTTCTACATGGTATTTCAAGGTTGGGTGCAATCATCCCTGACCTATTGCCCCCAAAAAGCATATTACCCTGCAATTTACCAAAATAAAAGTGCCAATAGGTACCACAGACATACTGAGGGCACTTGGTTAAGCTCTCGTGTAAGGTGTGTGCTTTCAGGGTGGCTCTCGGAGAACACGCTTTGTTCCGTTCTCTAATCTAGAGGATAATTTAAGATTGTGACTCTTAAGCCCTCCCCCAGTATGTATGCAGCCACTGGGATGATGGGTAAGGCAGAGATAAACAAAGATAAACTTGGCAGATAGGTCCTTGCAAATCTAAGGCACCGAGTATTTAACAAGCCACTGGAAACAATGATGGGGCAAAACATTAACCCTCTCTCACTCTTGTTACTTGTGTGCTCTATGGTGGACCTGACCTTTAGGTCCAGGCAGACAGGAAGGAAGGAGTTGTCAACATTAACAATGTAAATGCCTATAAGCATCTTTCTTTTAAATGAAATTATTTATTTAGACAAAATAAAAGGGATATGGCATACTCTAAAAAAAAAAGATGTTCCATCTCATCAGAGAATAGCAAAATATTTTCTAATTCAAAAGACAAAATATTTTACTAAAGATCTTACAGCTACTGACAGTGGAACAACTGAAGTCAGAAGGATGGAACGACCAAAAACACTTAAATTTAAAACTTTTTACCTCCAAATTTCAAATAGTGCTTTCCATTTTATTTCAATCTTCAATGGAAAAACAAAATGGTAACTTAAAGACATTAACTGCTCCAATCTGAAGTCTCTTACAATTCAGTGAACAAGGACAACTTTCTGCCTACACTGGAGTAGAGTAGGTTTCTACCAGGCAGCTGAGTGTAGCTCCCAGTCATGGGAGAACCAGAGTGAAATATGGGAGAAGGAAGGTAGGACAAATGCAGAGTAGGAGAATAAATACAAGATTTCCACCCTCAACTTTAATTCTCCAGAGTAAAATGTTTTCCTATGAAGTCAAACTTTTTATTTTTATTTTATTTTTTTTAAATATATTTTATTGATTTTTTACATAGAGGAAGAGAGAAGGATAGAGAGTTAGAAACATCGATGAGAGAGAATCACCGATCAGCTGCCTCTTGCACACCCCCTACTGGGAATGTGCCCGCAACCAAGGAACATGCCCTTGACCGGAATTGAACGCTGGACCTTTCAGTCCTCAGGCTAACGCTCTATCCACTGAGCCAAACCGGCTTCGGCTGAAGTCAAACTTTTAAAAGAAATTGGGAGTAAAAGCAACGAAACCTACCTCTCCACTGGTGATGGAAGCTTTCCACATCCCGAGGTTCTCACACCACCAGTCTGTCCTTGCCAGGTGCAGCTGAAGGTCTGTGCGTTCTTTCTCTGTCAGAATTATTTCCTCCTTCAACTTGGAAACAATCTGCCACAGGGAATACATAAAGCTATTTAAAATGCTATACAATTTTTAAAAAGTAGCAGGGTACAAAATCAACACACACAAAAATCAGCAGCATTACTATACACTAATAATAGATAATCCATAAAGGAAATTAAGAAAACAATTCCATTATAATAGCATAAAAATGATAAAATACATAGGATGAACTTAAGCAAGAAGATGAAATACTTTTACAATAAAAACTACAGAACGTTGATGAAGGAAATTAAATATAAACAAATGGAAAGATAGCCATGATCATGGATTGGAAGACGAAAGATTGCTAAGATGCCATACTACCCGAAGTGATCTACAGATGCAATGTGATCCCTGTCTAAATCTCAATGATTTTTTTTTTTTGTACAAACAGAAAAGTCCATCCTATAATCTATGTGGAATCTCAAGGGAGACTGAATAGAACAGACAACCTGGAAAGAAAAGAACAAAGATGGAAGACACACTTCCTAATTTCAACACCTATGACAAAAGTACACTAATCAAAACAATTTGGTACTGAAATGAAGGCAGACATATAGACAATGGAACAGAAAAGAAAGCAAAGAAGTAAACCTTCTCTTATATGGTCAAATGATATCTGAAAGGGTGCCAAGACCATTCAATGTGAAAAGACAATCTTTCCAACAAATGGTGCTGAAAAAAATGGATTATCACATGTAAAGCAATGAAGTTAGACACTTACCTAACACCATATACTACAATTAACTCAAAATGGATCAAAGACCTAAACATAAAGTTAAAACTATAAAACTCTTAGATGAAAACATGGGGAAAAGCTCTATAACTTTTAATTAGTAATTATTTTTTGGCTATGACACCGAAGGCAACAAGAGAAAATATTGAAAAATTAGACTTCATAAAAATTGTAAACTTTTGGACAAAGAACACTATTAATATAGTAAAAAGACAATCAACAGAATGGAAGAATATATTTGCAAATCACATAGCTGACAGTGGTTAATATCCAGAACATATAGAGAACTCCTAAAACTCAACAACAAAAAATAAACAACCTGATTAAAAAATGGGCAAACGACTTGAATAAACATTTCTCCAAAGAAGATATATGAATGGCCAAAAAGTACATGAAAAGATACTCAACATCACTAGTCATTAGGGAAATGCAAAACAAAACCAGAGTGAGATACCACCTCATACCCATTAGGACAGTTATTATTAAAAACATGTACACACACACACATCAGAAAATAACAAGTATTGGTCAGGATACAGAGAAATCAGAATCCTATGTATGGTAATAAGATAAAATGGTGCAGCCACTGTGGGACAGTATGAAGATTCCTCAAAAAATTAAAAAGCAAAATTAACATATTTCCCAGCCATTACAGCTCTGGGTATACGCCCAAAAGAACTGGGGGGAAGGGGGGAGGAAAGGATCTCAAAGAGATATTTGTACACCCATGATTATGACAGCATTAGCCCAAAGTGGAAGCAAACAAAATATTAAGCGACAGATGGATATAAACAAAACATTGTATACACATACAATGAAATATTATTTAGCTTTAAAAAGGAAGAAAATTCTGACACATAGTAATACTGTATATGAATGAACCTTGAAGACATTACGCTAAATGGAACAAGCCAGTCACAAAAGGAAGAATACTGCATGATTCCACAGACGTGAGGTACTTGGACTAAATTCTTAACAGACAGAAAGACAGTGGTGGTGGCCGAAGGCTGGGGAAGGCGTGATGGGGAGCTACTGCGATTCTGCGAGAGGAAGCGAGTTCTGAAGGTGGATCGTGGTGACAGTTTCACAACAACGTGTGTATTGAACATTAATCTGTACATTTTAGAATGATTAAAACGGTGAAATTTAATATCATGCTTATTTTACTACAATTTTTGTTAAAATAATTTTTAAAAATTGTTATGTTTACCGTCTCCTTGGATCCTTTTATGAGAAAACATGTAGGTTATATAACGTAGTTTGAGGACAGCAGCTTTGCTCCCAAACCCTCCTCAACATGCAGTCTACGAGGACCCCTTCCTTCCTTCCTCGGAAACCCCGCAGGAAGCCTCTGGCCAGGCCAGCATCCCACACTCTGTCACTGGTCAGGGATGGGACTCTCTGCCTCATTTCATCCAACTATGTTTTGGGTCCACATTCGGCATGTCTGCTCCCTCAGAGCAGGTGGCAGAATCTATATTTCACTGATTCTTCACAGTGACTATCGCAGCATCAGTCATTTACTCATCACTTATGTCTCCGAGCACACGTGCACAAAGTGCCGGAGGTCAGGTTAGGAGACCAAAGGGTGTCAGTCACACCTGTTAGAGAGACCTCCTTGGTGGATTCCAACGAGGCAGGAGCCCAAGGCAAAAGGCCTCACTGCCTCCGGGTGTGACAAATGCCAATTGGTGAGATGCTGTTTATAAATTCTGTTGGCTTTTAGCAAAATATTTTATTTCTTGTATAATTTGGTGAGGGTTTCTATATTTTACTTGTAGCATTTATAAGAAAGTAAAAAAGGTAAAGATTGTCCTTGAGCAGTTAACGCGCTTGCAGAAACGACCTTGGGAAAGCTCTGCCCCTCCCCCGAAGGTCCTGCGGGCAAGCCAGTCCAGGGAACACGTACTCACACATGACAGGGGGGAAAGAAACCCAAATCACGAAAGAGTAAAAACAAGTACGTTTCTAATTCTTACTTGAAGCAAAATGATAGTAACCACAATAGAACTTAAAATTATTTTTAAAGAAACCGTGACACCTGTCAGCATAAACTGAAAACTACTACTTATCACATTTAAAAAATGGAAACGTTGAAAGACAACCTTGAAAGCGAAAGAGTTACCTTCTTGTCAGGTTTTGGTGCATTTTGAATAGAATTTAGAGCTTGCCTTTTATATTCAAGTTTCTCGTTTAGTTCTCGCAGTTTGTTTACAGCGAAACTGGCTTGCTCATGAATGTGACTGGTGCCTTCATCCACAGCTTCCTCGCCAGCCTCATCGCCCAGGCTCTGGAGGAGGAAGGCACATGACCACGGAGTCACACAAAGATGGACTAGTCCGTAACCATTACCTATCAGACAGGCACTGCATCAGTGCAATGCACTGCCCAAGTGCGAGGCTCCACTAAGGAAAAATCTATAGCACAAGGTCTAGAAGCAGACTGCTTTTTCTCAGTAAGGTGAAAAGTTAAAGTATTTGGAACCAAAGTAACTGGTGTTCAGAATTGCAATGAGAGGGAAAAAAAAAAAAAGGGAAACATTTACTATCCTGGGGAAAGGGAAATGATCCCACACCATTCTTTCCCAAATGTTCACCCAAGGGAATGCACATGGAACACGGGAAGGCAGCTCAACTGCACTGTCCTGTGCCTCATCTTGGACAAAGACATAGGTCTGGATCCCTTCTGGTGTCCTAAGAATATTATGGAAAAACTCATGCAAGTCTCTTAAAATAACATTTCCAAATTCCTACTAGCGAAAGTACTTCCTGTGTACACTTTGTTCAGTCCTCTTGAAGATGTATTTTATAAATCATTACGTCAATTATTTACTAGCAAAATGGTTAGCGTTTGAAAGTGACTTAAAGTTCACAAAGAACTATATAACTTGAAATAACCTGGCAAGATTACTCAAGGGCCTGTTAATTCGATTCATGCACAGCAACAAAAACTGCTGAGAACTAGCTTCAGGTTTTTTCACTCCTTAACTTTCTTCCAGAGTTTTTTCTTCTAACTATTACAAATTGTTAATATTAATTTTTTTCAAAGAATAATAAGCTATTATAATCATAGCAAGCCAAACTGCTTTCATTTCTGTAGTTTCTTTCTAATCCTGTCTCTATCTATTATGACATAATTTTACACCTTGAATGTGTATTCTGCCTTTTTCCCATAACACATTTTGAGGTTATTACAGTCTTCAAAATTATAATTTATGTCCGCATGGTACTTTCCGAATTGAAATTTAACTAACGCAGATGCTACTGCTGATTCTCTATGAGTTGATTTTGCACTTTTGCTCTCCCAGATTTATTAAACTCCATTGTGCATCAACTTTTTTCTCATTTTTAGCTATGTTCTAGGATAAATTTGTAGAAAATTTGATTATTGAAATAAAGAGTAGGAACTATCAAACATCAGTAATACATAATACTCCCCTTTGAATCCTAGGTGAAGTTGGACATTTTTTAATGTTTTGTTTACTATTTATTACTTTTTTTTTATCAAGTGTCAGTTGAAGTCCTTATTCAATTTTTCTGTTGGGTATTAATGTTTTTATTAATTTGAATAACCTTATTTGCATATTAACCATTTTAACTTTTAGGTAGAGAGAGAGCACAATTAAAACAAACTGGCCTGCCCTAGCCAGTCTGGCTCAGTGGACAGTGTGTTGGTCGTGGACACAAGAAGAGTCACAGGTTTGATTCTGGTCAAGGGCAAGTACCTTATTTGCAGGATTAATTCCTGGTTCTGGCCAGGGTGTATGAGGGAATCAATCAATTTATGTGTCTCTTTCACATCAATGTTTCTCTCTCTCTCTGTCTTTCCCCGCCTCCCTTGAAAAATATTCTTGGGTGAGGATTAACAAACAAACAAACTGGCCTGTCTTATAAAGAAAATGCAATGAGTAGTGAGTTTTGGAACAAAGAGCTTAGTGATTTTATACAGAGAAAATGTAAACTATCAAGTAACAATTAAAAAAAAAAAAGCCTGGCCCAGCAAGTGTGGCTCAGTGGTTGAGCATCCACCTGTGACCCAGGAGGTCATGGTACATAGTGGACATCTGGTCAGGGCACATGCCCAGGTTGCAGGCTCTGATCCCTGGTAGTAGGGGGCATGTAGGAGGCAGCCGATCAATGATTTTCTCTCATTGATGTTTCTCTCTCTTTCTCCCTCTCCATTCTTCTCTCTGAAATCAATAAAAACGTGTGTTTTTTAAAAAGCCTGAATGAATGACTTTAACAGTAGTTCAGAGATGCCAAATTCTAATATTATCAAGCACAAGTACTTTTTCTTCAAGTACTTGAGATACAGTGAACTGGGAAGAAAAAATCAAGATAAATGATAATCTTTCTATGTAAGACTCTAAATCACATTTCTTCTTTGGACCTTCACAAAACTTAAAACTCGGTGATAATGTAAGTCATTAATAGTGAGTGGAGAGCTGCTGGGGCTAAACAGAATGACCTAGTACACTAACAGAAATCAGACTTCAGGCCGAAACCGGTTTGGCTCAGTGGATAGAGCGTCAGGCTACGGACTCAGGGGTCCTGGGTTCAATTCCGGTCAAGGGCATGTACCTTGGTTGCGGGCACATCCCCAGTGGGGGGTGTGCAGGAGGCAGCTGATCGATGATTCTCTCTCATAGATGTTTCTAACTCTCTATCCCTCTCTCTTCCTCTCTGTGAAAAATCAATAAAATATATTTTTAAAAAATAATAAAAATAATTCACTGCTTTAATATATATTAAAAAAAAAAGAAAAAAAGAAATCAGACTTCAGGTTTGGAGCAAGGTTCCTTCCCGAACATCTTCATTTCACCTGGTTTTCTTTTCTTTCTTTTTCTTTTCTTTTCTTTTTTTTTTTTTTTATATATTTTATTGATTTTTTACAGAGAGGAAGAGAGAGGGACAGAGAGTCAGAAACATTGATGAGAGAGAAACATCGATCAGCTGCCTCCTGCACACCCCCTATTGAGGATGTGCCCGCAACCAAGGTACATGCCCTTGACTGGAATCGAACCCGAGGCCCTTCAGTCCCCAAGCCAACGCTCTATCCATTGAGCCAAACCGGTCCCGGCTCACCTGGTTTTCCTAACTCCAACATTTCCAATGACTCCTCTCACATTCTCTCCCTCTCCTTATTTCCCCCCATCCTTTGTCTTTTCTCAGGCTGGATGATATGTTTCTACTGATTCTCTAACCTGGCCTAAGCCTCAAATGGCCCACCTCACAGATTTTCAGGAGTCAAACCAGGGTGTGTTTCAAGCTGGCATAAGGCAGGGAGGTCTCTGACACAACGTAGCCAGTTGGTCAGAAGGACAAAGACAGACATGTGTAAGGCCACAGACAACATGGAAATTCAACGTCACGTTCTACTGAAATTCCTGTATGCTAAAAGATGGAGGTGCACCCCACAACTGGCTTATACAATATGTGCTCACATAATCAGATTCAAAGTTTACGCACTGAGAGGAAACAGAAAGTGGGATGGGACTCACCACTTCATCCTTGTTGGAAGTCAACTGCAAGGCATGTGTTTCTTCCTCTTTTGTCGTCATTTTCTCATACAGGTCACTGACAATAAAGGAAGGGTAATACCTGTCCTTTAGGGCCTCATACACGTCTCCCTGGATTCTGAAGAACACTTCAATACCTCTATTTCCTACAAGACACTGCTGGATCTCTTTGTAAAGGGATTTTTCCACAGATATTTCTTTGCTCTCCACAAAGAAATTCTGGTAAATTTCACCAACTAACTGTGGGATTTCATTCTGAAAAGACAGGGAGAGAATGAGGAAGGTAAGAAATATCACCTCTGAGAATTCTTCTCTTCTGCCCTCTCTGTGCTTTCAAGGGAGAAGGGAGGCACTGAGGATGCACACTGGTAGCCAGGGTGGGCCCAGGGCTCCGTGCACGTTCAGGCCAACGGTTGAGTGTCAGACACTGAACGCAACAGCAGTTTCTTAAAGTGAACACTTCATATTGAACAGTTAGCAGGTGGCATTCAATTCCAGCAACACTCATGTAAACATGAGTAACTTAATGTACACAGTGCTCTTTGTGCTTCTTTTAATAAGCCACACAAAATATATGTACATAGATTGTACATATTAAGTGTATTTATAGATATGTCCATACATATATACCGTGTTTCCCCGAAAATAAGACAGTATCTTATATTAATTTTTGCTCCCAAAGATGCGCTAGGTCTTATTTTCGGGAAAACAGGGTATTTCATATTCTTGAATTTAATTCTTAAATATATATTGAGAAATTGCCAAGTACAAAACACAATGTTTATTGTTGGGCTTTTCACTGTAACCAAAATTTTTTTCTGTGTTCCTTACCTCAATCATACTTTAAATAAAAAAGGAGAACAATCATGTTGAACAATCATGTTAAAAATAACAAGGTTTATAAGATTGAGTTATAGGTGACAAGACCAAATTTATTATAACGGCAACATGGGTATGCACATGCTGTTATATGTCAAAAAGGAAGTACCTGAAACTAAATTCACTATTTTGGTACTTTTATAAATCTTTTTTCCCCTTTGATTACACATTCAAAAACATCTTTTGTTAAAAAAAAAAAAATAAGCTAAATTTTATTTACCATTATGGGCTACAACATAATGCCAATATTATATTTGGTGAAAATGTTCTTTTCATGTATTCTTATCTTACAGTTTCACTGAGAAACACAAACTGCCTAGCATACAAGTTTTTATCAGCTAGGGATTAATATTCCTTAATTCAAATATATTACCTTATTAGCATTCTTTAAATATTCCACAGACTCCCAAAAGCCAATCAGAGCTCTCTTGTCCATTCTTTCCATGTACATTCGGAAGTGCTCTCGGTACAAAGTATTGGCCAAAATATCTTCAAATTGAAGAATCTATTAAGGGAATTTAAGAAATCTCTTAAAAACAAAATTTTAAATATGAGTTTGCTTTAACTACGGTACCAATGGATTGATTCAGGGGGAAAAAATACCTCACTGTTTTAAGGTCATAGTCAATGTAATACTTAGTCAATGTAGTACTTCTCTCACCCTCTTAAATTTTAAATGGTAAAAGTTTACTGAATATTCAAAATGCACATATTCAATAAATACCAATTTTCTATTAATCATTCACTGGTTCAGCACAAAATCTATTTAGCATCAACTCTGTTATCAAGCACACTTCTAGGGAATGAAATAGACATAACCCTGCCCTATTGGGTGCTGAAAGCCACAGATGGCAATAATAGAAAAATTCAAGAGAAATGTATTAAAGACCAGGAAGCCTGAGTGTAATAATTTGGTATTTTTGCTTTCCGTCCCATTTTTATATAGCTGAGCAAATCTACAAATTATTTTATAGTTTTCCCTTTTTTGTTTAGAGTATCACATTCATTTAAAACTATTTTATAAGTATCATGTAATTAATCCATAATATTCCATTATACAGATATCCCAAATTACTCCTTTATTATTCTGCATGCTTACAGTAGAAGAAAAAGCATTAGTTGAAGACTCCGCGTGAACGATCGTAAGCATGGACTGCTGTGATATGAGAAAGCAGATGACCTCCGTTATAATTCATAACTCAATGAACTAGGAGAAATGTCCCAAATTAATTTAGAGGGACTTTAAGTCCCATATTCTTGGTTCTTAATGAGATTTTTTAAATGGCATCTAAGTATAACTCAAACGCAATGAAAAGGAAATATTTTAAGATTCTTAATACTGTGATAATATTTTCAGGAATGTTACCAAGTGCATGTGGTCAATGAATATTCAACTCTTCTGCCGATAGCAACCCCCAATCTGTTCTGTGGGCAGAAAGGGACATTTTTTCTAACAACTTCTGGAAACTAATTGAAACGATGGCCATCCCTTGCTACAGACCACTAACAATTATCATAGTTTCCGTAAATACTCCAGACCATTAATATTCAGTTAGTTCACTCACTATAGGAGACTGTAGCATGTAGCTTTACTTTATGTAAACCGTACTGGCAATGCCCTCTGAAGTATAAATCCTGACTGCCCATGCTCCTGAGAGGTTAGAAGGAACCCACACCACCTGGGCTATGGAGGACAGGTCGCTCAGAGAGCCACTGAGTTTTAAAAATAGGGAGGAGTTGAGCAGGAAGGACATGCAACAAATTCTAAGGAAGCTTCCCAGCATAAGTTCACTCAGATCCAATGATGTCCCAGTTGGATACAAATTCACTTATTTGCAAAATTAAGTCCAAAAAGTCTAAACTATTCCACTGTTAGATTTAATTCTTTCTATGTTCAGTCCCATAGTGCAAATATATCCACATAAACTCTGCTAAGTATATCTCAAGTAGGATTAATAAAACATCTGATGTACCTCCTATCTCGGTACAGGTTCTCTACCCCATTGGTTTTTCCTTCTCTGGAGACGCATGAGCATTTCCCTGTGTGACACCTACGCTGCCCGGGTTTGCATCTGACTGCCACCTTCTGGCCCACGAGCTGTTACTCCACCACGCGGGGCCCGTTTCCTCATCTGTAGGATGAGGGTAGCACCACCTACTTTATGGGCTGCTGTGAGACTTACAACAGCTGCTGGGTATCGCAACAGACAACAAAACTAATCAGAAAAGGCCTGAACCAGGATACCGGCTCAGACAGACAAGACAAGGATGGCTGGCAAAAACCAAGGCAGCCAAGAGGCGGCTTTCTAGGGGAGTAAGCGTGGGTGAAAGAGTTAGATCAGTGGGGCCGAGAGGTTACAAAGAGCACCAGGAAACTCTTGTGGATGACGAGGATGCTGGCACCTTAATTGTGTTGATAATTTCATGACTATATACATGTGTCAAAATGTCTTTGTATACACCTTAAGTAAAAGTGTATGTCATTATACCTTAATAAAGGTGTTTTTAAAAATGAGTATTCCACTAAGCCTCGATAATAGAATCGCAGATAAACATGTACAAAATGTTTATAACTAAGGACATTGGAGTACTTTTCTATCTATAGATTGCTATATCTATTTGATTTGCCAAAATATTGTTAAGGAATTTTCTACTTTCTATTAGGGTCATGATGGATATTGGTTAGTAGTTTGGGGTGTTTTGTTTTTTCTTCTTGTAATGCTTTTCCCCTCGACTTATTAAACAGGTGTAGTTAAGATTGACTTTATCTCTGCCTTAAAATGGTTAACAGAATTCACTAGTGAAACGATGAGCCTGCGGTTGTCTTTGTGGGAAGGTTTTAATTATGCTCCTCTAGGATTGTGGGAAGGGAAGGGAGGATGGGAACACACACACAGGCATGCACACACACACATCCACCCCATGCCTACCCATCATGCCTATGACCGTTCCCGGAAGTCAATGACACCAGGTCATACAGGTCCTCACTCATAAAAGCAAACATGTGAATCCATATTCTGGAACATATGCCTTACGTTACATACCAGGAAGTGAAAAGGCTGTCTCTCTGATTCCACCAGTGTTCATAACGGACCCAAAATGGTCAGAACAAGAAACTGGAAGTCCTACCTTCTGGCTCTGCGGCCCCTCCCCCTCGTCCAGGGCCCCGTCCTCCTGCTGGTCGTAGTCGGGGCCGCCCAGCATCCTGATCCTCTTCTCGCACTGCTTCTTGGCCACCGTCAGCTGGTTGATGTACCTTTTCATGTTCCTGGCCCTCAGGAGGTCCGCCTTCATCGCGGCCGTCTCTTTCCCTGGATGGGAGGAAGGACAGTGCTGTCAGAGCAGGAGGCGAGAGGGAACGTGGCAACTCTGAACCAGGTCACTGTCGGGTGTGGGCATTGTGAACAACGGCGGGTACTAAAGAATAGGAGGGGATAGTGCAGAATGAGATAGAATTCACGCCACACGTACGCTTACTCTCAATAGAAATACCGTTAATTTTTAACTACACCACTGACAAATCTTACTCGGTGTAAACCACTTTACAAACCTCCTCTGTCACACACTCACCAACAGATCCGCCTGTTTGCATGGATGTACAGTTAACCCCTGAACAACGTGGTTCGAACTGCACGGGTCCGCTCACATGTAGATGTTTTACAATGGTTTAATGCCAGCAGACCTGTGACCAACACCATAGAGCTGCCTGTTGTAGCACCTTCTACCCATGATGCAGTTCTTCCTCAAGCAAGTGGAAGGCTTGCAGCGAGACAAAAACACCAGGGCACAACTGTTAGGCACTCTCCAATGAGGCACAGGAGGGTGAAGTAACTTACAACGCAAACCAGTGACTCCAGAAACAGTACAAGTGTAAGCGCATGGAAATGCCACCCCTGTATTTTTCGGGTATTAAAAAAACGTCAATAGCAAAATATTTCTCTTTTCTTATAACCTCTCTCCAATCCCAAGGCATATCCTAACAACATCCCTTCTCGGGCTGCGTGAGGAATTTGCTTGCTGACAGGGCAGAGTTCTCGACCCCAGGCAGTACAGCCGACCTGTGGGCTGGTCCCGTCTGCCTCAGGGGCTGTCCTGTCACTGCCGGATGGGTAGCAGCATCCCTGGCCCCTACCACTAGGGGGCAGTAACATCCTCCCTCCCAGACGTGACAGCCAACAATGTCCCCTAATCCGGTACTTCCCACCACTGAGAACTAGCGGGAGGCACCACCTCTGTGGTGGGAAGGACACAGGCCACACACCCACCCCTCCCCGACTCCTCAGGACTCAGGGTCCTCTCACCCCCAGGCAGCCAGGAAGGGCTCCGAGGACCTCCTCCCTCCAGGAGCCTCTGCTCCTCCCTGCGCCCCTGCTGACAGGTTAGCCAGCCTTCGAACCTCCTTAAACACTCAAGTAGAAATCCTAACCAAGCCCCTTGAGAGGAGGCGCGGGAAACGGGCGTGTATTGACTTGGGCACCAGTCCAGTTTCCACATGAGAAGTGGGCTTGACCTCTTGTCAGCAATTCTCAATAATCGTCCCAACTTCCTCAAAGTAACCTGGAGATCACCTCCAAGGCTGGCCAGGAAGGAAAAAAAGACTTCCCTTGCTTCTCAACTTGGGGTTGGTAGGTTTGTTTGTTTGTTTGTGTGTTTGTGTTGTGTGTGTGTGTGTGTGTGTGTGTGTGTGTGTGTGTGTGTGTGTTTGGTGTGTGTTTTTGTTTTTGTTTTAAGGAAAAAGGGGGTTCTTACCACACCAAACACTTGAAATTTCCTAAGTGTCACTGCACGTGTGTGGAAGGCACATTTGAGGAATCGGGGAAAAGGACAGGGGAGCGGATGAAGGAACCACCCACATTATGATGAAAAGACCACAGGTGCCAGCCTGCACGGCGGGTCAGGGGTGTGACACCACACCTTCCGGGCCTTCCTTCACCTGGATCTACACTGCCTCCGGTCAGGGCCCCCGACATGTTGGCGATACACTTGTCCACGCGTCAAATTACAGGGGATCCCTGCCCCCACATGAGGACCCGCCGGGCAGCTCTGCCACCTCCGCTTCCAGCACAGACCTGGCCCACAGAGCCTGTCAGCGTGAGCATGGCTCTCAGACATCTGCTGTGGGAATGAGCAGTGAGGTGGGAAGAGTGCAGGACTGAAAACTGGGAGACCTGGGTTCGAGACCCAGATCTGTGTGTGGCCTAACTGTAGTTTCTGGTCACATAGTACAGAGCTGAGCATCTCAGGACCTAAGCTGTACTGTATGAATTTCAGGTGTTAGAATCTGTGATGGTGAAGTTTCCCTGGGGAACTGAGCTGACAGCAGAGTCGCCCATAAAATTACGAGACTATAGAGAATTTACCAGAAGTGCCCCGAGTCCCCCAGGGAGAGAAGGAGGGGCAAAGTAGGACAGTGGAAGGGACATGAGGTACTGGAGGTGGCAGTTCTCACAGTGTGAGGGCCAGACAGGAGAAACGCTGGCGAGGGCCCTAGAGTAGTGGCAGGGAACCTGCCTGCAGTGTTCGGAAAGGTTAGCTCACTCATAAATTAGAAACACGGTTGGTTGAAGCCAAAGTTGCAGGTTCGATTTCCGGTCAGGGCACATGCAAGAATCAACCAGTGAATGAATATAAGTGGATAGAACAAGTCAATGTTTCTCTCTCTCTCTCTCTCTCTCTCTCTCTCTCTCTCTCTCTCTCTTTCAAATCAATCAATAAAACTTTTAAAAAATAAATTAGGACTATTTGCATCGGATTATTGCAATGGCAGAAAGACAGATCACATCAAAGCATCAGAAAGGACCCTGAGGCGATTAGCTCCCTTCTTTCAGGCAAGGACACCTTTAAATCCCAAATCAGACAATGACACTACGTATCATCTTTAAAAAAAAAAATAAAAAAAACTCCTGACAGAGAGCATGACGGTTCTTATTAGCGAGTAACTGTGTGTGTGTGTGTATACACCTTTGATATTCTTCTACAGCCCTACTATAGTGGATTCCAACACTGTTTACATATACCCTAAAGAAAAAAAGATGCACAATTTTGACAAAGCCTCCCCATCCATCCTCTCCCGCAGCTCTTCCAGGGTGTGCTGTTTATAACAGCAGCCTCCAGCAGCCTCAGATCGCATCACATCCCTTGCTGTAGTCGGCTGGGTAAACATGACTAAATCACCTTAACCATTCTTGATAACATTTCGGGATTCAGAAGAGCATAAAAGAAGCGTTAAAGGAGCTGAATACTGGGCTTATTCATGGCACAATGCAGGGGGAATTTAGCACACGGCCCTTTGCCACTAGAATTCCTACACTTGGCCAATGTTTTAGTCCGTTCAGGAGACTACGGCCACACCCCACAGGCGGGGCGGCCATTTCCCCCAGCCCTGGAGGCTGAGAATGCGAGATGAGAGGGCCAGCGTGCGCGGGTTCTGCCGAGGGCCCTCCTGGAAGCCGCAGCAGATGGCCACCTTCCTGCTGTGTCCTCACATGAGAAGTTAGGGTCCCTCTGGGGACTCTTACTGTAACAGAGCACTAACCCCACCCAGGAGGGCTCCCCCATGACGTCAGCACCTCCCAAAAGCCTCGCTCCTACCACCATCATGTTTGGATGACAGAATTTCAACACATGACCTTTGGGCTAAGACAAACCTTCCGACCATACAGCCAGTTACTATAACAGACCAAATAGGCCATTTCTCAACAATTCTGGCTGTTGTAATCTATAATAATAAAAGTGTAATGTGCTCCTTAGACGGGCCGTCCTTCCAGACGACATTCTGGACGAAGCCAGGGCTGCAAGGGAAGCCAGTGCCCGCAGCCGGGGGAAGGAAGGCCTCCTCTTGCACAAATTTCGTGCATCGGGCCTCTAATTATAAATAAAAGCTGGAGGGTGGCGCTTAGGCGCAAACCTGAACACATCCATGGCTCTGCATCAGAGTGTGGTTCCAGCATGAGCGGCACCAGCATCCTGGGGGATGGGGAGTGACACACACGCTGAGGGCCCCTCAGATCCACAGAAGGGTGCAAAATGGGTGGGCCCAGCAGGGTGCATCTTCACCAGCCCTCCAGGAGACATGCAGGCTATGTCTGAGAACCCCGGCTCTCCAGGGTTAAGTCCGAACACCTCCTCCATCTGTGCACGTGTTCCCACCACCCACATGCACCGGGCCACCCAGAGGGACCGAGGGCCACTCCACCCTCTGAGTCAGCTCAGTTCCTCTCCAGGAAAAGCCTTTCCCACCTCTGCTCAGGGGGGGGCCGCTGCCCCTCACGTCCGCGTCACTGCTGAATCCTGAATGTGCCACTCTCGCCGCAATTTATGTGTGTGTCTGCCTGTCTCCTCATCAGACTGATCTCAGGAAGGTCCGGGTCAGTTTCATTCACTGCACAGCTGCACCTGCACATAGTGGCTGTGTTTGCTGGATGGCTGAAGACCTACTTCTGGTGACTCACGTATCTTCCAGAGCCCATTCTCCATCAACACGGAGATCCTAAGAGGCCTCAAGTGCTCCTGCCATTCCACTCCCTCTGTAAGTCCCTCCAGCCATGTGACTTTTCCTTCTCCTCAGCGCACTCCAGTTGTTCCTCCCGCCTTCCTCTTCTTTGCACATTCTGTTTCTTCTTCTTGGAATGCTACCTATTCTCTACGTCACTCTGCCTGGAGAAGTCCTACTTCTCCTTTGCATTTTATCTCAAATGTCTCTTCTCTGATCACAACCCCACCTCCCCTGAGCCTGGGGAGATGAGAGCACCTGAGCACGTGACAAGCAACGACAGTACATGTCACAGGAGGAATGAGCAAGGGCGACTCCGAGGTTCCTGTCATGGAAGGATGGGGAGGCCATTCACAGACAAGAAACCACAGAGGATGACGAGTTACGTGGCCTTTGATTTAGACATTCTCGGCAGCAGAGTGAGCTGGCCACTTCCTCAAGGTCAGAGGGGACAGTTCCTCAGAGGGGACACAGTCAGGAAATCCCTCCCAACCTGTTATCTGGCATTTCTTTAAGTCTTCAAAGTATTTTCACAGTTGCATATCATTTCTTAATCATCAATGATTATGATTGGAAAAGACATGTCAGAAACACCTTTAATGCAGCAACAAAACTGTACTTAGCCCTAACCGGTTTGGCTCAATGGATAGAGCATTGGCCTGTGGACTGAAAGGTCCCAGGTTTGATTCCGGTCAAGAGCATGTACCTTGGTTGCAGGCACAACCCCAGTAGGGGGTAGGCAAGAGGCAGCTGATTGATGTTTCACTCCCATAAATGTTTCTAACTCTCTATCCCTCTCCCTTTCTCTGCAAAACAAAATCAATAAAATATATATTTTTAAAACCACTGCATTTATAGCATATATACACCACATTCATAAGTAATGTTCTCATCTCCAGGTTGAAACCTAAATACTCTCAGGAGGTCCCATCTGTTCATTCTTTTTTAAACCTCTTCAGTTTCCCAGTCGCAGGGAATGTGGGAATGAGGAGACGCGACATTGGAAATGGCACTGCTGCCACCGTGCACACGGCACTGTCACTGAGAGGCGAGGGATCGCGGCCCGGCCTATCTCCCAGGTCTCAGGAGAGCCACGCAGGCAGGTGGGGCTTGTGGCACGAGGTTAACGTGCAGACTGAGGCTCTTTTGTCTGATGATATTTTCCGTCCCTAAAATGCAAAGATTTCCAAAAACAACTCAACAAATATATGTTGGGGAGCCTTTAGTGCTAAAATTCAATGTTCCTTAATGATTTCTACAGGGGGAAAACACACATGTTTAGCTGGAAATAAATTAAAGATCAATTTGAGAAGCAATGAGGCATAATGACTAGCTGGACCAGTTTAGAGATATTCAACTAAAAGACAAGGGGGAGTGCCAAATTTGGTCTTTATTTATAACAAGTATGTGCACACATTTTAATAACAGTGAGCAGCAGGTGGCATTCTGAATCAGGGAAGCCATGTCAGACCATTAATACACTGTTCTCCTCTAATAGTGGGGAACAGAGCATCGGCTTTGCAAAGATACTGGACTTGGAGACAGCAGGAATCGAAGATCATTAACTCTTATCTCTATATTGGCAACTTCCAAGTTTTTCTCTCAGGGTTGCTCTCTCTCCAAGCTTAGAAATGCCAAAGAGACATTTCTCCATCCTCCGTGGTGGCAAATCCAGAGGCCGGAGCCAGTGAGTTCTCTCCCCCTGAACCAGTCCCCACCTCTCTGAGTCTCAGGGTCTTCACTTCCTGGTGAGAAACCCTTCATGATCACCTGGAGCGCTCAATCTAGACCAGTGGTTGGCAAACTGCAGCTCCGAGCCACATGCGGCTTTGCAAGCCGAGGTTTGCCACTCTGTTGACTAATGAGTTTGCTGACCACTGTCATATATTACCCTTAACCTCTTTGCTCACAATATGCCACAACTGCCTAATCCTTACAGCTTCCAACTTACAGTCTAGCAGTGGTTGGTAAACTCATTAGTCAACAGAGCGGTAAACTCTGGCTCAAGAGCCGCGTGTGGCTCGCCAGCCGCGGTTTGCCGACCGCTGATCTAGCCTGAAAACCGGAGTCTGGAGAAACGGAAGGACTGTCCAGGTTCCACTGGGACGCCGGCAGGGGAAGCTCATGTGAGCCAAGGTCTCCTAACTCCTGTGCTAGCACTTTGGCTTCTCCACCCCCAACTGCATCTCGCCAGCCTGCCGCCACGGGGCAGGGCAGAAACAGCTGCAGATAGAAGTTAAGAGCTGACTCTTGCACTGAATTTCTCTGGGAGCCACTTCCTTATTTGTGAAGTCAGCACCATACAGCCCTCATCTGACTCTTCCCCAGTCAATCATTCACCAAGGAGGCTCTCTCTCCTTCATCACCTTCCTTCTTCTCAGGCCCTTCCTGTTCCCTAGCTTAGTCCAAGCCCTAGGCCGCAATGCCTCACCTCGCCCCCGCACCGCCTCCTACTGTTGGGCTCCATGAACGCTGTTTTGTTTGTTCACTACTGGGTCCTAACCACCTTGTTAGTGCTCAGGAAACATTTCCGGATGAACGCGTTTGCCCCATCTTCCTTATTGGGCCAAGGTAAGAATCATCTCATTAAGGATTCTCTCTCCACAGTCTAGGTCTTCATTTCCTTTTCACACAGCTCCCACCTTCCGCCAGTGACTCAGAGACAAGGCAAAGCCCGTAACCCAGCTCCCTTTGGCCTCTGTTTCTCCTGTCTGGCCCACTCTCCCTGGCACTCTGCTCTCCGCAGGGTCCTGGGGGCACCCGGAGACAGGTGTGTAAAGTCTAGTGGACAAGATGGCAGAGTCTTCTGCCCCTCAGCTACCAGCCAAACCTGCTCTGCATCCAGACAGCAACGTGTCCTTCAGCCTCATGCGTGAGAAGGGACTAGGCCAGCACCAGGCAAACCAGAGGCGGAGAGCCACGGCCACAGCTCAGTTACTCCTCAGCACCACGCCCGGGGAGGACCTCTTCATTTTAAACAAAGCAAACAGGGAAAACAAAAACAGCGTAAAACCCATTTCTTCAAAAAAAATGTTCAAGAGTAGAAGGCGGACAGCAGGTATTCACAATTCAACTGCTTAACTAAAGGAGAAGCCTAAATAAATTATGAAGCAGCAACTCACTGGAGTCATTTAAATGAGCAAGATTATGTTTCAAGACAGAAGAAATATGAATAAACATTAAGATTAAATTTACTGTGTGACAAAAAGTATGAAGTCATGTTGATTTTAAGAACGGAACAAAATCACAATCTACCTCATAAATTCAATCTTTTAAGAATTATGACTTCAGATGAATAAATGTTATAAAGGAACGTAGGAACACAACGGTTTCTGTTAGGATTAAATCGCATTTACTTTTCGATAGTGCTGCTACGCTATTACTGTAAGACGCTGAGCTATTTAAATGTCAGCCGGAGGGATGCTGGGACGTGGCGAAGCCCTGAGAGGAGAGTGCAGGCCGGGGACAGGCCTCCAGCCGCAGGACTGGAGAAAACAGAGCAGAGCTTACCCTTCTGCCTCTTCAGCTGCGGAAAGCTGCTGATGGTCGTCGCCTGGATTATTTCCACTACAATTTGATACCTGGTTTAAAAGAGAGAGAGAGAAAAGAAAAGGTTGAATAGGAAGAAAATGCCATTGTCCGGGATACTCTTAAGCTGTGTCTGTACTAATCACACATGACACGGTGTGAATCCTGCCCATGCATCAGGAAAACCCTCCGACAGGGACTGAGCGTCTACACCAGACCGGGTGCGATGCCACGAGCTGGCTGTCTCCGAGAGCCCGACGTGGGAATGATGACCTTGCTGCCCCCACCCAGAGAGAAATTTGGATTCTACTCAGCGTCTCCCGGATTGGTGACAGAGCCTGTGGGTTCTTCCCCTGAACCCACACTGTCCTGTAAGGAGGGCGTGAGCTAAGGTGAAGAATTATCTTATTCTAGGTGGCTATTTAGATTAATTAAATAAGAAATCCAGTTCCTCGGTTGCATTAGCCACATCTCAAGTGCCCCATAGGCATTCAGGGTTTGTATTATATAAGGGACAGTCTATGGACATTTCCATCCCTGCAGCAGGTTCTATTGGACCACGCTGTCCCATTCAACGTCACTCGCAGCTGCCCCCTGCCCTCTCTGCTTCTCACTGGAAGAGAACTTCAGACCGACAGAAAGGAGCACCTGCAGTGGGAACACGTGTCAACACTGATTCCGCTCCCAGGTAATTCTAATGCGCAAAGCTGACAATGCAATCCAGGCATGTGTATGTGTGACTAAGAACACCTTTTCCCAGAAAAAAGACACGTTTACTATTAAGTGCTGGGTACACCCTAGAGCCGTGGCTATGCTGAGCATACTCAGGTGGGCTTTCTGAACTCCAGTTCCAGGGCTACTGTGGGTCTGTCATTCCCGCTGCTCTAGACAATGGCCCTCTTACCCAACCCACCTCTTCTCCTCGCTATACACCTGGGCTTCAGCAGGACAGTTCCAGGCAGTCCTCCTCAAACCAGATCACTGTCTTTTTTATTTTTTAAAATATATTTTACTGATTTTTTAGAGAGAGGAAGGGAGAGGGATAGAGTCAGAAACATCAATGAGAGAGAAACATCGATCAGCTGCCTCCTGCACACACCCCACTGGGGAGGTGCCCGCAACCAAGGTACATGCCCTTGACCGGAATCAAACCTGGGACCCTTGAGTCTGCAGGCTGACACTCTATCCACTGAGCCAAATCGGTTACGGCAAACTAGATCACTTTCCAGGCTTTTGCTCATGCTGTTTCCTTCTGGAAACCATCCCCCTACTTGCCCACCGATCCAGATCCTACCCATAGTACTTCTTCTCTCAAACGTTCCCTAATCCCCTAGTTCACATGAGTATTTTTCTTTGAAGTCCTAACTTACCTCTGCTCTAGAATAGCACCTGTTTAGGCATTATTTTATATTGCCACTTAAAGAGTCCCATTTTCCCAAACAGTGCTGTGACTGAAGAAAATGGGCATGCCCAGTGCTTTTCACTTTGGCGCCTAACACTTCTTTAAAAAATGGAAATCCATCTGAGCCTAAGACAAAATTGTGGCTTTGTGTTTAATAAAGATATGCTACCTTTTTTCTCTCCAACTTTATCAGTTGGCGAATTGTGTCTTGTCTTCTCCTATAGGACCGAGACTGGAGCTACACATATTGTAAACACTTGGTCAATAGCAGTGAGTGCTCTGGACTCAATGTTTGTGTTCCCCCAAAATTCGTGTGTTGAATCCTAATCTCCATTGAAATGCTATTTGGAGCTGGAACCTCTGGGAGATAATTAGGTCATGAGGGTGGTGTCTGCATAAATGAGACCCCAGAGAGCTCACTTCCCACCGAGTGGGACTAGAGTGAGAAGACCATCTATGAACCAGAAAGCGGGCTTCCCCAGACCCCAATCTGCCAGCCCCTTGAGCTTAGACTTCCCAGCTTCCAGGACTGTGAGAAACAAATGCTCCTTCCTTAAGCCACTCACTCTATGGTATTTTTGCTATAGCAGTCTAAACTGACTAAAACAATGAGCTAAATTATAATAATAAGGGGTTAACATCTGTAACACTTAACAGGTACATACAGTATTCTGAACAATCTGTTCTTTTGATATTCTTAGTGATTTGTGCTCTGGAACAAATGAGTCATCAATGATACTGAAAAATAATATACACCATTTGAGGAAAGAGTTAATTTTTAAAAATGAATCCATAACATTATTAGGTAACACCAGCTAACATTTACAGATCCTTCTCGTTAGGCACCAGGTACCTGTTTAGATACTTTCATTTACATGATCTCATTTAACCCTCATAATCCGGTGCGGTAATTATCCCTGCATAACCCTCCCCTTTAGCTGTTGAAATCTTATTTGACCTTAAACACTCAGTCCATGGCCATTCCTCTCTGAAGCTTCTTAGATTCCTGCCTTCTATGGGATGCAATATTTGCTCCTACCCACTTCTTTAGCGCTTCACTCTCTACTTCTGGCCTTAATATCTTGCTTCATATTTAACTATTTATACCCACATGGATCTCTATGCTGGACTATTAGCATCTTGCTGGCAGGTGAAGGATTCAAGGATCCACAACCAATTCATCTTTACACACACCAGACCCTCCTCACAGTGCTTTGAGCACAGTAGGCGTTTGAACATGGTTAATGAATTTGTAGAATTCACTTTCACTTGATACCAAAGGGCAAAATAGGAAATGAGTGACTTTCTCTTTCTCAACAAAGCTGTTTAAATTACTGACAACTGTTCAGGACAGTTCTGGAATTACTAGAACTGGTTTCAAGCCAAATTAAAAACAAAAACAGTCTCCTTATTTCATTAGGCACACCTTATACATATTTTTTTAAAAATATATTACTTTAGAGCATCTTGGGCACACATGCTGGAATGTCCTACCAACATCAAAGGCTGGATAAATCCTAGTCTCAGGTGTACAGTATGGTAAATGGTTTAAAATACTTTTTATATTAAAATTAGTAAGGACATATTGTAAATTAGAATATCATACATATATACGTTTAAGGAAAAAATTAAAAACATCAATGTTTTCAAGTTGCCACAGGCTACTTTGTACTAGTCCAGAGATAATATTTTCACTAGAGGAACTTTAATTAATGTGGTTGAGAAGAAATACAGCTAAGCTGAAGTGAAGACACTTCCCAACTCAGGAAGTGTCTCAGAGTAGTTAAGAATATGAGTTTCTGGTACCAAATGGCCTGTGTTCTAATCCTGCTCCCAATACATGCTGGGTCACCCTGGGAAAATTATTTAAGCTCGCTACAACCCAGAGTCCTCACCTGTATAAAGGGGAGTAACAGTTTTTCCTGATAGGGTTGCTATGAGGAGGAAATGAGATAACAGCTTTAAAACAGTTGGAATAGTGCCTGCCCCACAGTAAGAGTCCAATAAAAGTTAACTGTAAACTATCGTTCCTTAACCTGCTATTGACTCTTTAGATGCACACTGTTCAGGGGGATGATGTGTGTGTGTGCTTGTTAAACATACATAAAACCTTTGTAAGTAGCCTTACTTTTTTCCTGACTATAGGAGTGCCTCAGCTAATTGATCTAAGACCACCAGATCACTGTAGTCCGACAAAATCAGGTTCATTGACCCACTGCACTGGGCAGGAGGAACCACGGGGCATCTGTGGAGTTACTGCGGGGTTCTGGGAAAGGAGGGGGTGTGGGTGGGAATTGAGTGAAGCAGCAGGAGATTGCAGGGGATCCACTTCCAGCTGGATCCAGGGTCCTACTGACTTGGAAACTGCACTTCAGATAGACCTGGAATGCTGAGCCCAGAAACCTCTTATCTGCAGCGCGGCTTATGGGTGATGAATGAGGCTGCTTCTCTGTGTCAAAGCAACTGAGATCCTCCAGGCACGAGCAGGACGCACCATTCTTACTGAGAACCTCAAACAGCACAGTTTTTAACGGTCCACGCAAGATTTGAGAGAGCAGTGTCTCAGTGAGCAAGATGGCAGTAGTCACTCACTCACACGAGGGAGTCACTCTAACAGGTAAACGTTATGGCTGCTGCGTGTACTTGAAGGAGATTGATTCCAGTTAGCGTTGGAGCTCCCTTTAGTAGCTGTTACACAGCCTGATAAATGGATGATAGACTGTACTGCCCAGGCTGAGCCAATTTCTACTTTCTCTAAAGAACATATGCTCATTGAGGAACATTAGAAAATACACAAAACATAATATTCACAGTTAATCACAGCATTTGGTAAATCCTTATAACTTTTTTCCTAGGCAAATATGGTATTTTGCTATTTTATAAGACTGGATTTCTGCTATATATCCCAGCCACACCAATCAGATAGTTCTGGGCCAGAGCAGCCTGAGGTGTCCTGAACATATGTATACACACAATTCATGTTATATGTACAGAAAACAACCTGGAAACACATATACCAAGTAGTATCAGTTTTCATCTGCTTGTGACAACTGATTGTTATTTTCTTAACCTTGTTTATATCCTTTAATCTCCCTAAAATAACTAATTACCATAGATTCATTTTCTAGATCCCAGAGACTACAGAAATTACATGTTCCAGAAGCAACCAAAGCTTTGTCATGCCGGCTAGCTGGTACCCGTTAGTTAACCTCAGGAAGGGCCAAACTGCCCTGCTGGTATGGCTCAGCGTTTGAGCACTGACCTAAGAAAAAAGAGGTCACAGTTCGATTCCCAGTCAGTGTACATGCTGGGCTGCGGGCCCCGTCTGCAGTGTGGGGCATGCAGGGGGCGGCTGGTGGACAGCTCACGGACAATGTGGTCAGTCAGGAGTGACACTTGGGCCTTCATGTGCCTTACCCCTTGGCCCTGGAGGGAGAGAGGAGCGCTGCTATGTACGGGGTCTTTTCAAACCCCAGCTGGGTCCCTGAATTCCATCCAGCCAGGCCACTGGGGATTGGTCAGTGTTTACAGTGAAATTCAATGTTTTCAGCCCTTGATCTGATGATGATAACAACAGTGGCAGCTAAGAGTGAGAGCTGATTCTGCACTAAGTGCTTTACCTGCACACCTCATGCTCCCAACTGCCCTTCA